TATCGAGCTCGCGAGTCGAGCTCGAGCTCGAGTTTGAGCCGTTTAGTAAACACGAGCTCCGAGCTTCGACCGGCTTGGCTCGTAGCTCGCGAGCGAGCCGGCTCGATTAAATATTAATATTTTTAAAAATAATTTTATTTTATTTATTAAATTTAAGTATTAAAAAATTATAATAATAATCTCCTAAATTTTATTTAAAAGTGAAATATTTCATATTTTTATAAAAAATTTGTTAAAGTTTTAAAAATCCCGCTTAAAGTTTAAAAATCCCGCCTAAATTTAAAAATTCCCCCCCATGGCTGGCGAGCCGGCTCGAGCTCGTTAACAGTGACACGAGCTCGAGTTCGAGCTCGACTGTCGAGCTCGACTCGAGCTCGAGTTCGAGCTCGCTTTCTTTCTTACGAGCCGAGCTCGATAAGGGCCAAAACTCGACTCGACTCGACTCGTTTACACCCCTACCCCTAGCCTATTCCCTCCTCAAATTTTGAATTTTGAATTCAAAATAGCCTATTTATTACCTTCCTAAATTAATCTATTGTTAACTTGGAAAGTTCCTAATTTGAATTCAAAGGTATTGAATTTCAAATCCTTTCTGAATTAACAAATTTATTTTTGGAAGCCTTCTCCTAATTCCTCTAAATTTGAAATCATTTTCAGATTTAATATCAAATCTCATTTAATGCCTTGGGCCACATACATCGTATGTGGACATCTCTCCCCCTCCTTTGGCTGCCCCCATTTTCTCTCACATATTAATTAATTCCCCTCAATCAATGCTCTCAATCAAATCCCTTTTCCTCTAAAATTTATTCTTTCCTAAATTAAGTTGTTCTAAATTTGGTAAGTTTTCGAATTCAAATTCAAACGAATTTGAATTTTCAAATTCTTTCCTAAACCATTTAGATTAATTTTAGAAAGCCTTCAATTAATGATTGGGTAAATCAGAAATTAATTGGGAATCAATTCAAATTCCACATTCATTGAATCTGGATAGCCTATCCCATTTCCCTCTCTCTTTGGCCGACCCCTTCACTCCCTTTTCCAATTAATTTAAAAATTCTAAATTCACATGACCCCCTTCGTTCTACATCAGTTTGGTATCATAGCATGGTTGCTCACTCGGGACGTGAACTAGACAGAGTCGAGCTCTTTTCGAATGATGTGGACATCCAACCGACCATGCCTATCCGAGGAGTTGAAGATCGATGGCCGTCATCGTCCCATGTTATCTTAAATTTTATCTATAATTTTTATTTTTATTATGAATTTTTTATTTTTACTCTCATTTAAGAGGGTCGTTCTATGTAAGCCCTAGGGGCATGTATCTTGTTTTAGTTTCTTAGACCTATATATAGAGGCCCTTGTTTGTGTAATGTAATGATGAATATTAATTAAAAAAAAATGGTGCATTTGTCTTGATCTCTGTATGAGTTTTGGAGAGGAAAAGTCCTATGGGAGGACAAGCTTGTTTCCACTAGCCGCAGGATGGATCCGGGCTTGTGGATTGAAGTCCCTCGGGGAGGGCAACGTAGTACCCACCAGCCGCAGGAAGAGTCCGGGCTCGTGGTTTGTATCATTTTTATTTTATTTTTTTCTTTATTCTTCGTCCGCTCATCTCTAGTCTCCACCATTCACCATTCGTTTTTATTTTATTTTGTTTGATTTTGGCTAACTTTTCTTTTGGATCATACATCAACCCCTCTACCTCCATAGCCGGTCGACCACCTCACCCCTAGCCTATTCCCTCCACCAATTTTGAATTTTGAATTCAAAATAGCCTCTTTATTACCTTCATAAATTAATTTTCCTAATTTGAATTCAAAGATATTTGAATTTCAAATCTTTTCTGAATTAACAAATCTATTTTTGGAAGCCTTCCCCTAATTCTTTTAAATCTGAAATCAATTTCAAATTTAATATCAAATCTCATTTAATGCCTTGGGCCACATACATCGTATGTGGACATCTCCCCCCTCCTCCTTTGGCCGCCCTCCATTTTCTCTCACATATTAATTAATTCACCTCAATTAATGCTCTCAATCAAATCCCTTTTCCTCTAAAATTTATTCTTTCCTAAATTAAGTTGTTCTAATTTTGGTAAGTTTTCGAATTCAAATTCTTTCCTAAATCATTTACCTTAAGTTTAGAAAGCTTTCCTTCAATTAAGGATTGAGTAAATCAGAAATTAATTGGGAATCAATTCAAATTTCACATTCATTGAATCTGGACACCCTATCCCCTTTCCCTCTCTCTTTGGCCGACCCCTTCACTCCCTTTTTCAATTAATTTAAAAATTCTAAATTCATATGACCCCCTTCGTTCTACATCAGTTTGTATCAGAGCATGGTTGCTCACTCGGGATGCGAACTTAACGGAGTCGAGCTCTTTTCCACCCCGGGAGAATGATGCGGACATCCAACCGTGCATGCCTATCCGAGGAGCTGAAGATCAACGACCGTCATCATTCCACGTTATCTTAAATTTTATTTGTAATTTTTATTTTCATTATGAATTTTTCGTTTTTACCCTCACTTAAGAGGGTCGTCCTATGTAAGCCATAGGGGCATATGTGTCTTGTTTTGGTTTCCTAGGCCTATACATAGAGGCCCTTGTTTGTGTAATGTAATGATGGATTATTAATAAACAAAGAATTGGTGCATTTTGTCTTGATCTCTGTGTGAGTTCTGGAGAGGAAAAGTCCTATGGGAGGACAACCTTGTTTCCACCAACCGCAGGATGGATTCGGGCTCGTGGATTGAAATCCCTCAAGGAGGGCAACATAGTACCCACCAGCCGCAGGAAGAGTCCGAGCTCATGATTTGTATCATTTTTATTTTATTTTTTTCTTTGTTCTCCATCCTCTCATCTCTAGTCTCCACCATTTAGCACCCGTTTTTATTTTTTATTTTATTTTGGCTAACTTTTCTTTTGGATCAAACATCAACCTCTCCACCTCCATAGCCGGTCGACCACCTCACCCCTAGCCTATTCCCTCCTCAAATTTTGAATTTTGAATTCAAAATAGCCTATTTATTACCTTCCTAAATTAATCTATTGTTAACTTGGAAAGTTTCTAATTTGAATTCAAAGATATTTGAATTTCAAATCCTTTCTGAATTAACAAATCTATTTTTGGAAGCCTTCCGCTAATTCCTCTAAATCTTAAATCAATTTTAGATTTAATATCAAATCTCATTTAATGCCTTGGGCCACATACATCGTATGTGGACATCTCTCCCCCTCCTCCTTTGGCCGCCCCCATTTTCTCTCACATATTAATTAATTCCCCTCAATTAATGCTCTCAATCTAATCCCTTTTCCTCTAAAATTTATTCTTTCCTAAATTAAGTTCTAATTTTGGTAAGTTTTTGAATTCAAATTCAAACGAATTTAAAAATTCAAATTCTTTCCTAAATCATTTAGCTTAATTTTAGAAAGCCTTCCTTCAATTAAGGATTGGGTAAATCAGAAATTAATTTGGAATCAATTCAAATTTCATATTCATTGAATCTAGACACCCTATCCCTTTCCCTCTCTCTTTGGCCGACCCCTTCCCTCCCTTTTCCAATTAATTTGAAAATTCTAAATTCACATGACCCCCTTCGTTCTACATCAAGTGGTGCCTATATAATGGCTCTGCCCCCCGGTAAGGATGAAGATTATTTTTGAATGAATTCTGATTTTTGCTCTCTTTTCTTGTGTGAGAGTGAGTGTGGTTGAGTGGTGTAGCCTTAGGAGAAGGCAATGAAGTACCCAACAGCCCATTAATGTGAGCTCTTGGTTTTCCCTTGTATCTCTTCCCCTTTCCCACCTTCTTCCGCCCTAACTACTGGTCAACCCCCTTCCCCTTCCACCGCCCACGACAAGCCCACCACCACCACTTCCTCATCCAAGTTCCCAATCCAAAATTTCCCAAATATGAAATTTTGACCTTTGGGATTCCAATTGGACCCCACTCGTCCCTTGAAACTCTTCATGTTAATGTCTTAGTGGTGCCTTTCTTATTACTAAGTACCATACACCTTTAGGAAAGTTTGGATCTAACCTATGGAGAAGATTGGGGTTACCCCTTTCCCAACTCTACATCTCAATGCTTATAGTTACAAAACGATATGCCCACATACTGACAAGAGCACGCATGTCAATGGCGCAAAATGATGCGCGCCATGGGGCACGGTGCAGAGTGGCGCACGGCGCGGCATGGCACACATATGGGGCTATTTACTTGTCATGGCACGGCGCATCAAAGTAGCGCGCGCTATTTACGTCACGCATGGGCAATGGCACATGGCGCAAGGCACTTATGGCACACGTTATTTTGTTAACCTATTATAAATTTCAAATTATAAATTATAATTAATTTTTTAAGGTTTATATATTAATATCATAATCAATTATTAATTAATTAGCCTTCAAATTAATAAAATATCAAAAAACTTTAGAGGATTTTTTTTTGTAGGATTTAAAGCTATTATTTAGGCTGGTTTAAGGATAAATTATGCTTAAATCTATTGATGTAAGTTTATGTAAGATTTAAAATCGTCATTTTTTCTATTTGATAGGATTTTTATGCCTAAATTTTAGTCTAATCAACCAATTATTTGTTATTTAATGGTATAGAAAATTAATTTATAAATATTTTTTATTGTGCGTCATGCTTAAAAAGGCGCGCGCCATGCCATACGCTATGGGCCATGGCTCCACGTTTATCTTTGTGCCGTGGTGCGTCATTCACCACTGACAAATATGGACAAGAGTAATGTGGGTATTCTAATTATATATTGCTTGACAAGGATATTGCTGATTGAGAATTAATGAGAATGTCTAACACGGAATGTTTATATGCCTGAAATCAATAATTATTCCTCAGTTTTTTTGTCTTTGATATTATCCATATTAGGGCTTTTGCTTCTCCGTGCACGCTGTTGACTGGATCTCTCTTTATTATATCTATACGTTCTTTTTTAATTTTATTTGGTCCTCTTTGTTCATTTTTGTAGGGACTGTTACAAATGGAATTGTATCCGGAGTTTCTGTTGCTGTGGAAACCGGGAAAAGGGCACTTTTGCTTTTGAAAGGAAAAGAACGTGAAGGTTCTCATGTAAGCAAACATCAATGCTCCATGTCTTAATTTGTCTTAATGCATTTCTTTTTCCCTTCATTTTTTTTTTGTGTTGGCAAGTTGTTTGATTTTGATATTCTAATGATATCCACTTATTGCTTGTAAAATCATTAACCAGAAACTCACTGGGCTCAGCTTATCTTAACAGATTCAGCGGCTTGAGGTGCCTGGAAGAATTATTAAAAGCATATTATCCAAGGAAGGGAATCAGGTGTCGGCATCTCAACCAGATCATCAATTTATTACGGTTAACATAGAGAATGACAAGCGCCCTCCCCGACCACCTGTCCAGCAGTCAAATTTGAAGGATCATGCTTCCAGTTCACTACACACTTTTGTTTCTGATGCTGATGGAAAATCACATAAAGTTGATAAGGCTGCTTCAAGTGAATTGTATGCTAATGTATCCATCAGGGATAATAAGATTGAAAAACGCATGAGAAATAAAGATAGACCTGATCGTGGGGTATGGGCACCCCTTCATCGCTCTGATGTTTTTCAAGGTGAGCAGGATTTTTTTCCCTCATTTTATTCTTGCATTCATCAAATGCGTCAGAAGCTTATAGTTATTACTGAGAACATATTGGCTTTGTGACTGTAGGACACGTCACTAATTTTCTCCCAAGCAATGAAATAGGAGCGGGTCATAGAAATAAGAAATTTGATACTCCAGGTGGTAATAGAAGTTCAGAATCTAAGAGGCTTGGAGTTGGACGAGGGCATCATGCTTCTTTGGACAATGGTTGGTTTTCTCGACATACATGAACAGTCTTTATAGTGATTTACCATGTTTATTTTGCATTTTCTTGCTTTGATGGTGAATTTATGGGAGATATATTATTTTAGGTGTCACTAGGCATGCAGTCCGTCGGGGAATGACACATGGTTCAAAAGATTTGGATGTCTCTGCAAGTACAGCGGAGGCTAAGCCATCAAAAAGAGGCCCTATTCCATATGAAGTGAGTAAACTGTTGTGGAAAGCATTTTTTTTTAGTATCCTGAAGTGGCTTTATCACTAATAAAGATTTATGTTAATAGCTTTCTTCTGTGTTTACAGAAACAAGTATGGGTTCAGAAGAACGGCTCTGCTTCATGATTTTCCCTTGTAATGTAAGTTTTTTTCAGATTCTGTTGCTTTTGTTTTCTGTAAGTTAATGCAACTTTCCGTTTATAGTGAGATGCATTTTAAAGTATAAAAGTGTGGTATAACTCTCATCATAAGTATATTTCAAATATCTTAGCGAATCTTGCTCTGTTAGTTATCTCCATGGGTAGGAGTGAAAGGCTGAACGTTCCATAACTTCTAACGTTCCCAGATAGGTACCATTTTGGCAGTCATCCTTAACTATTTTTATTTTATTAAGTACTGCAGTTTAAATTTTCAATCAAACACATTTAAAGTTCTATTTAAGTGCCTGATATTTTATTTTTCAGTTACGTGCGTCTAAGTGAGAATTTATTTTTTCAGTTACGTGCTTGATATTTGAGTGCGTAAGGTGGAATACCATGATATTTTCTTACATAAAAATCACGAAATTATAGCTTTTGAAATGCTAAACTTGTAACCGCTGAATATTGAATAGTTTTCCAGTTGGGTGACTGAGGCTTACGTCCTTTGGTTTGGACATATTGATTTCTGTTTTAGAATCTTGTACACAGGTATTTGACTTTTATCAGGAATGACAAAGAACCTATGATCTCCATCGACCATTGATACATAAGCTATATGTAAATGTTATTATTAACAAGTATAAGTTATCCTTAATTTCGTGTGGCTTATTTACTAAAAATCCTGAAAAGTACGTGTTTGCAACATATGTGGTACTTTACAGAAAATTGGAAGTTTTTTTTTTCACCTTTTTATTATAAAATAGGGTAAAATGTTGGAAACATGAAAATCTTAGGATCCGTTTTAAATTGACGTGTTTTGGTTGTATCATTTGTCCCATTTTTGTTGGTTGGATTCTATCATGTTCAACCGTCAAGCAGAAAGTGGATGAAGATGTAGGATTTATGCCTCAGGCCTCCTTAATAGCTCTTGCCTTTTGAATCTAATTTCTATTAATTATGTTGCTTGGCATTGTGACTATATTAATAAACTTCTGAACGCAGATAATTTTAAAATTTTATGATTACACTATTACACAAGCAAATGAAGGCATGGTTAAATAAAGACTTGGTTTTTATTGAGGAAATTTTACGGAGTTGGAATGAAATCCTAATAGTTTATGAGGATAATTACGAATCTATGGCCATTGATTTAAGTTGTATGTGTAATTTCATTTTTTTCTCTCAAAATTTCAAACATCTAAATAGAGCCAAAATGTTGAGAATAACGGATTGGGAAAGTAATTCATTTTGATTTTATTGTGGCATTATCTTTTGCAATTTGTCATGCATTTGTGCTGCTTGGCATGGTGACTATATTAATAAATCTTGTGAATGCATATAATTTTATGGTTACACTATTAGACAAGCTAATGATGCATTGTTAAATTAAGACCTGCTTTGTGTTCAGGAAATTTTATGGAGTTGGACTGAAGTCCTAGTAGTTTATGGGGTGTAATTATGAATCTATGGTCATTGATTTAAGTTTTACTACTCTTTTCATTTTTTTTTCCTCAAAATTTCAAACATCTAAATAGAGCAAAAATGTTAAGAATAATATTTTGGGAAAGAATTCGATTTAATTTGATTATGGCCTCATTTTCACAAATTGTGGAGCATTTGATGAATTATGTAAGTAGATTTTGAACTATCAATATATCCAATATATGTAAAGATTTGTACGAACAATCTTATTTGTACATGCATTAGGCCAGGATTCACAAGTTACAGGATTTAACATAGGGATAATGCTAGAAATTAATTCATAGTGGGTCTAGGGAGATTTTCATATCTTACCATTATAGCATATTTGTTCTAAATTAATTATTAAGTTTTTGGGTATAGCATAAATGCTTGAACCACCGATGTGATTCAATACATTGTTTTATAATTAAATCATCTTGGATTTGATTTTGAGCCGATCTTTTCTCAGTGCAAATTTGGCTCATTGATGCGACCTAAGTTTCTAAAATTTTATGGAGAACACTTAGGAAAGCAAATAGGGAATTTTTCCTTTCAATAACTCATAAACATCCACAAAATAAAGCGTAAAGGAGAAACAAGGCTATTTAGAAAACTACTACAAAATTCGAAGGAAAAAAATAATTAAAAAAATAAAAAAAAGATAAGATAAAGCTACCCTCAGAAGAACCAACAAGTGGTCACCTCACTTGCAATGCTTTTAAAATAAAGGATAGGTGTCCAAGGAAAGATCTAACCCGGAATCCACCACTAAATTGATTCGGCACAAGTCTATCCTCCTTCGGCAAATACCAACTAAAACGTGGTAGCAGACACCACCAAGCGCACAAGAGAAGAAGAATACAGTTGGACGTTACTGTGGAAATAGAAGAAGAGGAAGAAGACCAAGACGAAGTATAAGAGGAAAAGTGAATAGGAAGCTAGCTCACAAGCTAAAAAACCCGCAGATTTTGTATGTAAACACTTCACCAAAAACCTCCTTCAAACAGCAACAAACAGTCCCCATATATAAGGGAAAAAAGAGTCCAACATCCCCATAAAAGTGTCGTCCCCTAGGCAACCAATAAGAGCTATCATAATATATGAAGTAGCAAAGGGAGGGGTACGGACATCATGGGGAACCAAACAGCTAGAAAATCAATCAGCCATTAAACTGAGATCTGCCTAGGAAACCAGCAAAAAACTAACCGCCATCAAACCGTGATCTGCTTAGAAAACCAACAAAAAACCAACAACCACCAAACTATGAAAAGGAAGAGAAATAGACCGCATGATAGGGGAAAATCGGAGCAACACACAGTAGGGAAAGCCATGCAAAAAAAAGGGGGGGGGGAATGGACAACAACCGAAGCAGCACACGACAACACAGAAACCGTAGGGACAAAGTGAAGGAAAGGGAGAGACATTCCTAAGAGCACCATCCTAGCAAGATCATCGGTTGACTTCCATCATAGGGTAAATAAAATAAAAAAAATAATACAAACATAAAAAATTCCATAATTTTTTTACTACATCAATTCTCTCTTGGTTAAAGAATTTCATTTCTTGATAAAAAGCCTCAGTAACACGTTGAAAAATATTAGGACGTCGAAACTGTAATTTCTCAGCTTCAACCCATGAACAGTTAGTCAGGGGTCGTCCTTGTCATTGAACTAAGAAACGTCGGTGAACTCTACGCCTCGTCTGTGTAGTATGAATGTCCATAACATCCTCAATATCTCCATTAGTCAGAGCGGGAACGATAATAGGCAAAGTCTCCAAGTCTGCAATATCAGTCGGCTCTCCAACATTTGTTGTAAGGTCAACAAAATTAAACACAGGAGAAGTCCCTATGGAAGATGGGAGATCCAAAAGATAAGCATTAGATCCCAATCTTCGCAGGATTTGAAAGAGACCAAACTTCTTCCAGCTTAATTTGCCAAAGGTACCAATTGTAAAGTGTTGTCGTTGAAAGTAAGCCATCACACGATCTCCTACCTGAAAATGACACTCCCTACGGTGTTTGTCAGTCGCAATTTTATATTTGAAATTTGTCATACGAAGTTTCTCCAGGACCTGTTGTTGTGTGCTGACTGCGCTTTCAAAGACCCTAAACCCTAAATTTGAAACTAAACCTGTTTGTTAATTTTGGGTAAGGAATTTGTTAGACTGGTCCCTTGCCAAGGGCCGGCTCAAGTGTATAGAAGGCGGGCAGCAAGAGAGGGAGAGGGAGAGGGAGATGGGGCCCACTAATTCAAATTCACATGTTTTGGAGCCAAAGGAGGGGGCGGCAAGGGCAGACTTGTAATTTGGGCTTAATTGATTAATTGCATGCTTTAAGTAGGAAGGAAGGATTAAGGTTAGGGTTATGCTTTGTTTTGTCGCTGATTTTGTAGTTCTTGTCTTAAGTGTGTTGAGCCCTAGATTGGTGTTGGGGTTTGGAGAGAACGATCCTTCTCTCGAATTGAGGATCAATTGCATCTTGCTTTATTTCTTCCATTAGTTTGATTTCTTCAATAAAAATTAATTTTTGCTGATTTTCTCGATGAATTTGTGGAGCCTTTTGTTGTTTTTTTGTCTCCTTGTTCGGGATTACTTGAAATCTTCAAGTACTTCCTAACATAATTTTGTTAGTGATAATCTGTTTTATAAACTTGTAATTTTCTCACAATGCAACGAGATAAACTGAAAAGATTAAAATGTCAGCTTAAAAGTGTTATGTACATGGAGCATCGTGCATTTTGTTCGGCTGCCATTTATGACTTTAGTAGTGATTTGGTTCACATTAATTTGCTGGATACTATATTATTGTTTATGTTGCAGCTTAAAGTGTGGCTAATTGTTGCATTATGGCTAATGGTGTTTTGATGATTTGGTTAAACTTCATCTTATTTCTTTTTTACATGTTAGTTCGTGCATCTGATTGTCACATCATGCGGTAGCATCCTAGAGGGGAATGAATTTTTTGAGGGGCTAGCTGTATTTTTTTTCTTTCTTGTTTCCTTTGCCTTGTTCCATTTCCTTCCCTTTCCCATTTTTGACACAAACATCATTAAAGATTCCCCGCTTCTCTCAATAGGAACCAAAGAACTATAAGGTCTCATAACATAGTTCGATACACTGGTGGGTTTATTTGCAGGAATGACAAAGCAATGGTTAAATCATTATCATTAGTCGTATCCCAAATTTTTTAATTTGATTTTTATTATTGTGAACAGACCAGTAGCTCAAACTGCTGCATAATGTGGTATTCATCTGAACTGCCATTCAAATTTCTTATTACAAACAAAAAGACAATTTCATAGTTGCCACTTTGCATTTTCTTTTCATCAGTATGTTGTAGCGGTTGTCTTGTCTTCTATGGTCTCTTTTTCTCAAGTTATATTTTTATGTATGTATTGTATGCATTTTCTTTTTATACTCACAAGATCTATTTTGCAGTCTTCCCTCAAATGTATTATTTTTTAGCTTCTCTGTTTCACATGAACTATGAATAACAAATGCTTTAGTTGTGTCCTCATCTACAGCTTTTTTCCCTTAACTCGGATACCGTTCTGCATTGGGTTTCTGTAGCCGATGACAGGAAATCACAGTTGCACATATTCATATCTGGCATTATGATTTTTTGCCGCTACAAATGATCACTATGGCATTTCTATCGTATAGTTCACCTGGAAGATCTCCTATGATGGAATTTTCACTAGCCGAGCAGTTCATGCATGACTGATTCTGCTTTTGCCCCTTTGATGTATGAAGGCTTGTTCCTCGATTTCTGAAAGAGTTGGAAGCACCTACTATCCTTAAAAAGGCTTACAATGTAAGCTGCTCAGTGTGAATGAGACTGTGCAGGATTGTTAGTTCTTTCTCTCTTTGCAACTGCGACGATGTAGGAGCCCTTTTTCAGGCTAGGCTATTGGATTGGCCAAAGAACATAATTATACCCCGGCATTGGTCAGAGCTGCCATGATTACAATTGCTTACCTTGTACTTAGTAACTGCAGTAAATAGAGCTACTTATCTGTGTTTCATTGGAAGTAGTTATACCCACAGCACCACATCAAGTTGAGTTGGCTTCACATTAGCCAACCAACTGACAGTGGAAAGCGCAAATTGCTGTGGCTTTCAAAGATTGTGTTTTTGGTGGGCTTTTAGTTTGCTTTGTGAATTTGAATGCTGAAATCTAATTACATATATATATAAAGTTGTACATTTTTCTTCAACCCTTACATCATTTGCGCATACAATTTTGCCTGTATGATAGATCTGACGAATGGTTTTATAAGCCTTTGAAGTGGAGAAATTTGAAGGTCCTGTGTATTGGTTTGAGTTGAATTGAAGTTTGGGTGAGCTGTGATTGAAATGTAAACCTTTGGTTTGGCCTTTTTCTTAGCATAAGACTGATTGGATGGTTTGTCTTTGGTGCAGCAAGAGGAAAAAAAAAAATAAATCAGACTCTAATTTGATCATCGTGGGCTTTACTGTCATCATATTTGCTTTGGGATCAGTATAAAATATATTTTGATTGATTAATTATATATTACATTCCTTTTAAAATAAATCTAATGGCTATGAAATTATGAATTGCTCATCTTTTCCCTAAGCCTAAGACTGCTCGGACGAGTCGTCCCTAGTGTTGTATGAAGAAAAAACAAAAACAAAAAATTCCTCATTTTTTTTAAGCATGGTTAGAAAAACTATTATAAATTAAATAAAGAACAATCAGCCTTTCCGTGGACAAAGAAAGTTTTTCCAAAAAAAAACTATGATATGGGGCCGTCGTGTTGAATAGCTAAGCATTGTTTCAAATTAAATTTCTAAGCACTGTTTTTTTTTTGTGTGGGCTGAGAGAAAAAAGAAAAAAAAATTAAATGACTTATGCTCTTCGTATAGAGAGAGAGAGATACCTACAACCCTGAAAGAAGCAGGGCTACAATTGACTCTCCATGAACGGAGCGAAAGGAAGCGCAGACGGCCTAAGTACGGGTGTAAACGAGTCGAGTCGAGTATTTTCCTTATCAAGCTTGGCTCGTTTAATCTTTAATGAGCTCGAGCTCGATTAGTGGGCTCGAGATCGACTTGTTTAAAAAATATCAAGCTCGAGCTCGACTCGAAAGCTCGAGCTCATTTAAAAAGCTCGAGCTCGAGCTCGTTTAAAAAGCTCGAACTCAACTCTTAACTCTTTTAATTGGCACGAGTCTTTAATTTTAAACAAAAATTCTCTTTTTTTGGAATTTTTTCTTCTAACCCTTAATTAAAATTTGTTTTCAATAATAAAAAAATAACTTAATTCATCATAAAATGTCTAGAACTTTAACTATTAATTTCTTTAAAAAAAATTTATAGAAGAATCTATATATTATGAGCAATCATCTTTCTTTAAAAAATTTAATTTAAAAATTTGATCTATATCAACTTATCAACTGCAATTTTTATATGATTAAGTATTATAAAACCTTGAATAATATAGAAATAGAGCTTTCAATAATATAAGAATTTGACCAAATTACATTTCATATCATCATTACAAAAACAACAATTGGAATCATACAACTCATTAAGAAGTTTCATAATAGAGCATAAGTAAAAACTGAATAGAAGATAGAACTATATATTTCTTGTCTGTTTGATATTTGGATGTTCCATATTCTTCGAATTCTTTCATCTCTACTACCAAGTACCAACTACCAATTAATATGATAAAAACCTGTAAAATTAAGATAAAAGCAAAATGATAATTATTTTAGAAATTGGGTAAAAAGAAAAATATTAAATATTCCACATACAACATTTATAAGCAATCTTATCGCTCAAACCTAACAAGCAAAATTATCCAGCATATGTTTTGATGGATAACATCAAAAATGAGCTTCAGATATAATCAGATCTGTAAAATTCAATGCATAAGAGATAAAATTTTGCATCAGAATATAAGGAGGAAAAATTATAAGATATATATAAATAAATTAATCGAGTAGCTTATCAAGCTTTCGAGTCGAGTCGGATTGAGCTCGAACTCGAGCTCGATAATTATACGAGCTCGATTGTAAGCTCGAGCTCGATAAGCTCAGCTTGCGAGCTCGTTAACGAGTTGAGTTCAAGCCGGCTCACGAGTCGGCTCGGCTCACTTACACCCGTAGGCCTAAGTAGTGAAGGTTTGAGAAGAACTGTTGATACTTGATATTGCGGAACAATGGGAAGGAAAAAATTAGGCGGAAGGAAGCACGTGTTTGATTTGGTAATCAAGGATTATCATAGCTTTTTTTCTTGACAAATTATAACTAGCATTATAAGGACTCCGAAAATGTATATTTCGAAGGGTAAATTTTAAGTTAACAGGGTAAATTTTTAGAAGGCAAATTGGGTTTGAAATAAGACACTACTCACATATTTCGACCACATTTTGCGAGGACTTTATAATATGAGTTCTTTTTTCCTATAGGCACTGGCACAAGCCCCGAATGTTAATTACCCCTCCCAATAACGAGAGAGAACATTCGAATAAGGTTATTCGTCAATTAGATATGAAGTATCTGACATATAGTAGCATCATGGGTTCAATTTTGGAGACTTGATATTTAAAATTAGAAATTTCACTATTTTGCACTTAAAGCGGATGATGAGGGAATGGATGATGGACCTCATCAAGATCACATGGTTCCGTCATCCCGGGCCATCATGATCCCTAGTCTGCTTAGTCATAGGAGGTAGTTGACCCAACTTGATAAAAGGAGTCTAGTCGGTAGCCATGAGTTACTTTGTTCAAGGGTACCTTGTAGACATAGAATGAGTGTTTGTCTAAGGGGACAAATTTGAATCCACCTTAGTTAATAAAAGGCTTTGTTCCATATATATCATATTCTATTGATTAATATCTCAAATATTTGATGTTGTTGGGGAGCATACAAAGCTAGGACCGTAACTGTAATACAATAGAGTTGTTGGACCAAGCCACTAGGTCAGAGGATTGTGGTTGTAATCGTTGACCACGCGGAGCCATATGACTAAACCACGGGTTCTTTGCGGATCCGTCTAGCCAAACCGCCTATCAGAGGACCAATGACACGTCCTTACTAGCAAAAAATGAATTGATAATGAATGATAGTAATATTCTAGACCAGACATTAGCTATTTGTGAGCTAAAGTAATTTTCATATTTGCCCACCTCGACAAATTATTGCGAGGGGTGGATGGATTTTATTTTAAATGTTTCACAATTGATTTCAATTTTAAATATTTCAAGATTTTAATACTTTTTGGGTTCTGAATTTCATGGGAATTTGAGATGTATTTGAAATATTTTGAGCTAACCCCTCTAATTGAGATTTAAGTTCAACACAGCCATCATCGGAGTGTTATTATGCAATTTTTATGTTGTTGGTTGAACCTTGTCGACTTTACCTATTTGTCAATAGAGGATCGGGTTCTTCTTAGTCTTTATGCCTTTATTACTGAATTTTCTTAATATTAGGCCTTATAGACCTAATATGAATATATAAAAATAAATATCTTGGTCAACATCATGATTATATATTTGTTTGATTGTTCGAGCCATGTCCACTCTTTTTGACTCGTATAGAAGGATCAAGCTCAAATTTCGATTTATCATTTGACTTGCACAACATCCTCAGACGTCACGCATGTGAATACGTCACACTCATCGGGGGCCCATGCAGGTGTATATTCTTACATGTATATAGGTTAATGTACTTGCGTGTTATTTTTTGCTTTGTTTTGGAAGGGATGCAAAGTAATTGAAATTTTAATTTCTTTAGAAAAATTTTAAATTTGAATTTTGAATTTTAATTCTGAAATCGAACATACTGATGGAAATGATATACTGCCTTGGAAGGCGGATATCAAATTTCCTAATTGGTTTTTAGATCTATAATTATAAATTCATCATAAATATCGTAGTCAAATTCAAGAAGGAACTATGTATGACCCCAGAGAGTCAAAATGATGTTCGATCAAATATTTAACTACGATAATCTAGATGTACTATCATTAATCTCATATTCAAAAGTATGTTGATAAATGATATATCTTTCTGGAAAGAAAATATCACCTATTATCCATGATTTGAATATGGAGATAATGATTGTTGTTGATTTCCTTAATTTTTCAAAGAGAATTAATTAATTTTTAAATTGATATAGGGTTTTTAAATCTATTGGATTAATCAGGGTTGAACCCAAATGGACGGTTTTGGGTCTATTTTAGTTAGATCCTAATTAAGCACAGGGTTGGGTTGACCATGTAAGATACAGGAAACCTAGGGCTATCCAATGCAAGCGTTATTTAAGCTTGGTGAAGCCTAGGTTGGAAATTTGCTTAGACTAAGGTGTTTTGGTCACTGTGGGGTAGCTCAATTCCTATCATAGGTGCACCCAAGGGATAGGCCATCTATGGTATGTGCAATGGGTCATAGGGACCCAATGCAAGTGATTGCTTGGCCAGACTTGACCAAGATTGAGTTTTGGCTCATGGATAGTCGTATTTGGACATTGGATTAAGCCATATGGCTAAACCAAGTGGCCCCAAGAGTTGGGACTTTAAGGGGACCCTCTAAGGGACCTAAAGGGTTACTCTAAGGTCCTAGGTAGGCTTAGCAATACATTGGTCAATGGATTTTAGCTATATTCACTTGTATGCACATATGATCAAATTTGCTTGACTTGGTCAACCAAGTTCACCTAGGGTCTAGGGTTGGGTCCAATAGGTTTGGATTGATTATGTGAGACCAATGGAGGTGGTCTCAAGTGATGGGAAGGCCATTTGGTATGAAAAGCCCATTTAAAGCCTTAATGGGGCAAGGCTTTAAATGGGGCATTCTGTCAACATGGGCTGACTTGGCCAACCATGCTTGACCAAGGCTTGAATTTGAGTTCAATGCATGATTAAGAGTGTTTAGGATACATTAGAGGAGGTTTCATGGCTTTTTTTGATTGGATCATGTTAAAGTTTTAGAGAAAACTTCAATTTTATCCTAAAGGGGTATTTTGATCATTTGGGCCCCTGGTCATCTCTGGGCCAACTAGGGTCCACCAAAGTGTAGTTTTTGCGTTTTACATGTCATAACAAGGGTTATGGACATGGTCAAGGGCTTTTGGGAAGGTCCCATGATTAAATTCCACAAGCATAAGGTCAACACATGTGTACTTTCATATATATGTTACAATGCACGTGTGAGGGCATTATAAAATCATCTAGCACCAATTAGTTGTATGGGCAACCCTCGCTTGAGTGTGCTTAGCATTCCATTTGAGAGCTTATAAATTCCTTCTATCGCTTATATGAATATTCAGGATCCGATGGCGTGGCGTCATGATGCGTTAGGTCTCATTTGAGAATTTGTTAACGCTTTTTCCTGCTTGCATGGATGTTACAGATCGAGTGGCATTATTTAACAGCTTATAGACACCTTAAATCTTCTTGTATGAGTGTTGCACATCTAGTGGTGTGGAATAGTACTATGGATTTCCCGTCATTTTATACAAGCAGACTGTCATATACTAACTAGTCTCCTGTTGTCGTTCATAGATTACTGCATTCACTGCAGTTATCTTATAATCGCTCACATATATCATGTTGTATGCACAACGAGTTTCCTATGGCAACTCGTAAGCATTTGCATTTTGTGTAATCAAATTGCATTTTTCTTGTGAACGATACATTGGTTGCATAACGTGTCTTCTACAATAGCTTGTAGGAGCTTACATCTGCTATATATCTTTCATCTTTGTATGCAATGAATCAGCGTATTTTCTTGATCATTCATCATTAACTATGAGGATGAATCGACATCTACTATACACAGTGTATATTTTCATCTTTACTTACAAATGACCTGCAAGAGCGCTGCCCCTTGACAGACCCTGCAACTTGATCGGGCAGGTCAAACCCCGCAAGGGGGCACTGCCTGCTCAGATCCCTGATATATTCCCTAAGTATACTGAAAAAAAAAAACTATAATTCATTCAGGATGTAGCTTTTTTAACTTCAATTCTTTCTCTTTCTTGGCATTTGCGTACCGACTTTTAGATTTCGCATTGTGTAGGCATATCATCTACTTAAAGAATGAACGTATCCCTCCACATCATTTTTCATCTTCATCGGCTCTTTCTCATATTTTTGTTCACAGCAGATATTAAAAATTTATTGAGCTAAAATCCTATATATTACGAAGCATTCACGGTTATTTTCATTAAAAAAAAAATGTCAACCCTAAAATCTAAATGTGAAGGGGCCGAGTCCATATATATATAAAAAAAAGTCTATAGAGCCCATAAAGATAAAAATTAAAAACAAAATCCAATGAATAACTTTCTCCAATGAAACAGAGCAGTCGCTTGAGGTAGTTGCAGGTGCGAGTGTTTTACAGGACCCCCAACCAGTTCTATGCTATGATTTGTGGGAAAAGAATGTAATTGTGATCGGTAGCAGCAATGAGTCGACTGCTTTGAGAGAAGTAAATGAAATATATATATGACGTTTGATATGAAGCTTAGATTCCGCGGGGGGAGGAAGGTGGAATGGATAGAGAAGGCTGGAGATTTTAACAGGATGGTTGCAGGTTGATTTGATCTTGCAATTTTATCTGTTTTTCTTAACACTTGATTCCCGTCCATTCCTATTTCTTTTCCTGCAAATTCAGCATGTTTTCATCACAATAAACCACTCTACTCTTTGTGCTTATTGCTTAATTTGCAGGTTCAGAAAAAAATAAAAAAACGCTCATCTTGGATACTTTACATGAGACTGTCTTCATATATTCACTACTTATTAATTAAATCCCAAAGAGCTCTAGGTCAAGTAAGCTATGGCTTTAATAGCTTGCCTTCATCCGTTATTCGATTCTTTACGGCCATGGTTGCTCCCCAATGCGGACGAGAGGGAGTCCAAGCCACCACCTGCTCCAATCTCATCTCTGTTCTTCGGTACACCAAAACTCACCGGCTGCTATCTGTTGGAAAGATGGCCTATGGCTTCGTTCTTCGATCTGGGTTGGAATTTGATGTCTATATTTCTAATAATATGCTTTGTGTTTACTTGTCATGTGGTGCTATTGTTCACGCACGCCAGATGTTTGAGAAAATGATTATAAGAGATACGGTTTCCTGGAACACCATGATATCAGGGTTCGTTAGCTTGGGGCTGTTTAGAGAAGGATTTGTTCTCTTCGCCGAGATGATTCGATTGGGAAATCTGCCAACCCATCCGAGCTTCGTATCCATTCTTGTTGCATGTGCTGAGATGGGAAATTCAATATATACTCAGCAAGTTCATAGTTGCATCATCAAGTTTGGTTTTTCTTCTTTTCCTTTTGTGGGAAACTCGCTCTTGAAGGGTTATGTGGAATATGGAGAATATGAAGATTGGTTGAAAGTGTTAAACGATATGCCTGTTTTGGATGAAATTTCTATTCAGATTTTGTTGAGAGGATGTGTTTGCCATAAAATCTTCGGTTTTGCTGTTGAGTTGTTCAAGTATTCATGCTCCATCGGCATAGATGTTAGCCCTTACACTATCACTAGCTTAGTAAGCTTATGCTCGAGTCATGATAATGCCAACTTTGGTGTCCAAATTCATGGATTTTCCCAAAAAAATGGCATGGTTATGGATGTTTCTGTAGTTAATTCTCTAATAACAATGTATTCAAGGACCTATACTTTACATGATGCAGAAGATTTGTTTGAATTGTGTAGTTCAAGAGATATAGTTACCTGGAACTCTCTCATCAGTGGCTATGCGTATAATGGGGAGGGTGATGCTGGCTTTGGCCTTGTTCAGAGGTTGCTCTCTAGTGGAATTTTGCTGAATGAATCTACTTTCCTGAGCTTCCTGTCTTGTTGTGCTGCCATTGGTGTCCTTAATAATGCAAAAAAAGCGCATGCTTTGATTCTTAAACTTGGAGAAGGCTTTGAGGAATGGACCGATAATGTTATATTGACCATGTATTGTAGAACTAGAAGTATAGAATATGCAGCTGCCACTTTCCAAGCTAGCAAAGTTAAGGATGCCTTTTCATCAAATTTGATAATGGGGTTATATAGGAGCTTTGGCCGCCATGAAGAATCGATAAAGCATTTTCACATTTTCCAATCACAGGGTTCTCAGGTGGATGACATGATGTTTTCTGGTGTCCTTTCTAGCTGTTCCAGACTGGGATTTCTAAATTTTGGATGCCAAATTCATGTTTGTGTTATAAGGATAGGTTTTGATAAGATTTCTCACCTCAAGAACTCTATTTTAGAACTATACTCTCAATGTGGAAGAGTGGATGATATGGAGAGGATTTTTGAGGAATCTGAGACACTTGATTTATTTTCATGGAACATGATGCTTATGGGATATGCCAACATTGATTTATTCCATGAGGCAATTAGTATTTGGCATGAAATGTTAAAATTGGATATTGAGCTTAATGAGTTCTCTTACTCTGCTTTACTGCATGCATGTTGTCATACTGATGTTCTGTTGATTGGAGAGCAAATCCACACTACTATCCACAAGATAGGGCTAACATTTGATACAACACTAATGAATTCTTTGTTGACCATGTACTCAAATTGTAGACAAATGGAGAAAGCTCATTTGGTCTTTGAGGAGATCTCTTCACCAGATTATGTATCATGGAATGCCATGGTTTCAGGTTACACACAAAATGGATTTCCAACAGAATCTATTCAACTTTATGTAAGAATGAACAAAAATGGAATTGAGACAAATGAAATGACTTATGCAAGCGTCTTTTCCTCTTGTTCTTTGCTTGCAAATCTGAAATTGGGTTTTCAATTCCATGCTCAAGCGGTCAAATGTGCATTTGATTTAAGCTTACCTGTTTCAAACTCACTCATCACTATGTATGCCAGATGTGGTAGCATACATGAATCATCCCAGATTTTTTGCAGAACCCTGCATCCAGATCTAATCACTTGGAATTCAATGATAAATGCGTATGCCTATCACGGGCTTGGAAAGGAAGCAATTTCTGTGTTTGAACAAATGAATAATTTTAGTGAGAAGCCCAACAGTGCAACTTTTATAGGTGTTCTTTCTTCTTGTAGCCGTGCGGGTTTGGTTTCAGAAGCTTGTTATCTCTTTAACATCATGAGTGAAGTTTATGGTATTGTACCAGGTGAGGAACATTATGCTTGCATTGTTGATACATTATCCCGGAATGGTAAATTGTGGGATGCTAAGTTGTTTATAGAGAGTATGTGTATTAACAATTGCTCCTTGGTTTGGAGAATATTATTAAGCTTTTGTCGACTAAATGGAGATGTAAAGCTTGGTGAGGTGGCAGCAGAGAAGATAATTGATTTGGAACCATGCGATTCAACTCCATATGTTATCCTTTCCGACTTATATGCTCATCTGGGTAATAGAACTATGAAGGATCATTTGAGGAACTTAATGGAGAATAGAGGAGTGAAGAAAGAGACTGGGTGCAGTTGGATTTCTAGTTAGATTTATTCAGTCAGTTATGCTTTGGGGACGCAAGCACAAGGAAGCAGCTTTCAAGAGCTCGGATCACATTGTATAAGATGTAAGTTTCTCAATTAACTTTTTTCCTCTTTTTATAACCATTTGTTTTTTTATAAAGTAGCCTTAGTTATGTTTATGTTGAAACAATGTAATCCAAAATTAAGGAATCAGTACGTTTATCTTTTATTCATTATGGTGAGCTCAAGAGTCCTCATCTTATAGGACAAGCAATTGTAAGTATTCCCGCATTGCTTGCTTTGAGACAGCCTGAGGCTGCAAGGGAAGTGCCTGAAACATTTTCAAACTCTGCTAATCGGGTATTTCTGAATTCAGACGAGCTGTTGCTTAACATCCAGGACCTGATTTGGAATAGACTGAAGAAATATTGGTAGAGAGAAATTATCCTTGTTCCACATTGGTCGATCCACACAGCTTGAGTAGATTTTTTGGAAGCAATATTTGTTATCCCAAAAAATATTGCATTTTACCTTTTGTCTATAATTTGATATTCTTTGAGACAGCTATCGTTTGAGAATTGTGAAGGCATCTGTGAATTGTGAGTTGTATTTTGTCGTTACACTTATTCATTTGGTTCGTCTGATCAAGTTATCATAAGAAAATAAATCAGGTACAACAAGTGGCTAGCCATGAAGCAACTTGGTATTTGTGAAGCTTGAAGTTGTCCAAAGACACTACTCGCTAGAGTCGAGACTATTCAAGTTGCCTAGGAGAGAAGATTCTACTCGACCTTGAGTACTAAGCTAATGATCTCATAAATGGGAATTACAAAGTCATCAATTCATGAATGTTATTCGCTCTCAGAACTCGTCTATTCATCAAGATTACTAGCTAAGCCAACTAAGGGTTCTCGCCAGAAGAACTCATCAAGGGTACTCACCCACAATAATTCTCCTTCATCAAACAAATATTATCCATGCTCATCAGCTACAAGGCTATTTATACTTAGCTCAATCATGTTGTTATGAATTGTTGTATCCCTCTTATAACATCGACTTTGGTCATCAACTATAAATAGAGTTAAAAGGTTGGGAATGGCCGTGACACAACTCTATTGTTTTGGACGAATTGATGTTCCATTGAAATCTTGCACTTTTCTCTCACTCTGCATCATTTATCTCTCTATGGTGTCAACTAAATTTCTTAAGATGTGCTAAAAAGAATCTCCAACCTAACCCTTAGATTGTTAGTACTCTTTACAGACAACATTTAAATCTAACAATCATGTCATTAGACCAAAGCTTCATGGAAACCAAGAGTTAGTAATATATTTCAATAAGTTTTGTGGTCATTGAAGTGGAAATTCAATATGTTCTGTTACTGTTTCACATGCAACAAATTTTGCAGAAATAGCTCAAGTTTATGGGCAATTTCTTTGTTTTTTTTAAACATTCAACGCATTGCTTTATTTTGTTTTACATCCCATTCTGTCATTCATTCTTTAATTAATCTTAGCTTATCTTTGCAACAAAAGCTGCACTTTGATGGAAATACTGATAACTAAACTATATTGCAGATAGGTTTTGCAACTACGAAATAAAAATGTGATCCCGCAAACCAGATAAACCACTCATTGGAATTGTTTCTGAGAATAAAAAGTGTTGCTAATATAGTTTCCTATCACATTGTGATGACGATCTCTCTAGTGCAACTGAATGGCTCTGATAATGATAGCGATAGCTTATTTTACTTAGAAATAAAGTACTCCCACTTTAGGCTTGTGTTTTGACTGCATTTGGGGGGCTACGGACGATCACAGGCTTGTTGGTGATGTGAAGGCCAGTATATGCCTTCTCTTGGGCAAGGGAGTAGAGGTGCAGGTTGAGCAAGAAAGGTAGGAAACCTCTGCCCTGGCATCAATACAGACAAATTAGGAGTTGTTGCCAGAACCTCCTGTAAATTCAGGTAGAACTTATTAGGAATTAGGGTGATATTTTGATTACAGATTTGGAATTAGAGTTCAAACTTAGCTGAAACAGGAAATGAACTTACAGATTTGGAATTGACAAGCTTTCCGTTTGATTGCAACTGATATTGTTGTCGATTCACCCCAAATGACACTTGACTTTCGTTTTGAGACTGCTCTAATGATTGCCTTGGTCTGATTAAATGCTCGAAAATTGCCATGATGAGGAACATGGATATCAAAATTGCAGTGGCTACAAAACCAAACGAAATTGCATTCATTGATGATCCTAAATCTTTCCAGGATGCCTCTTTATCAGCTGTTGTTTCTGTTTGAGCTTGGTCTGTGTTCCACCTGTCTGATCTTTCCCAAAAATTGATCATATTCGTTGGTTTCAACTTTACAACAGATTTAAGCTCCTCATATCTGCAGTAAAATTGATAATGAACTTAGTAATGGTAGTTGAGAAAAGGAAATTGAAACTAAAACAACTCTGAACAAAAACAGAAAAGATTTCTGAATCTGAACAGTTGCATGAAAGAAGGAAATAAATATCAGGCACTTTGATAAATCCTTACCATTTCAGAACACAATGATAGCCTTAAAATTCAGAAGAAGGAAAAAAAAATGCACGACTTGCTGCCCAAGGAAAGAATTGCTTGGAACTCCAACTGGGCAAAGTTATACTGTTCAAATCTCTAATAAATAAACAAGTGGTACAGAATCTCCTGTCAACTCTAATACTCTTCTACTCATAATTTTCTAACTATTTTATCAAGATAATTAAAAAAAAGAACATACCAGATATGGCAAAACTCTCACAAATAAGGATAGTATACTGCCTTTAAATAAAAATAGTCACTCCGGCATTATGATTTCAATAAAAAAGATAAAGATTAGTGGTAGGATCCTACATGCTTCACACCATCACTGCTTGAAAGAAAAAGCTGCCATATATTCTAAAAAGACTTCAATGAAACAATAAAAGTTGCATTCAAATTAAATAATATGAGGTCTTAATAATTAAATGAAAGAAGCATATAAACCTAGAGATCTCATTCCTCAAATTCATAATTTCGTATTAGATTAGGGTTTAAAAATATAATTAGCGGTGCGTCTCAATCAATCTTGATCAACCTTGTAACATGATTTCCTCAAATTCCTTACCTTGATGATTATTGTAACCTATCAAAGGGCCCATTGGCTTTTGTCAGGAGCACGAAAGCTAACAGTTGAATTATCCATTGCCCATTGGTAGAGCACATGGAATCAGAAATGAAAAATGCAAAAAAAAAAAAAAAAAGGCAAAGGGGAGACACAGAATTCAAAAGTATGGCAAACAATAGGAGCACCCTTTGCTTCAAAGAAATAATTTATGATAGGCAAACAGTAGAAGCCATTATTTAAAGAATGCATGGCTCCCTAAGCCATTAGAACATTATTGGTCTAAATCAACATGTCTGGCGAGGAACTTTTTTTTTTTTCCGACATTTAGGTCATTTAAGACAAACTCGCACACATAACACATACACAAAAACTCGAATCCAAGACCTCTTAGTTGGAAGCCTAAGCTCTCGACCAACAGGCTAAGGTGAGTTGTGTTGGCGAGGAACTTGAGAGCAAACGTTATATTTTATTTTATTTTTAATTAATTTATATATGGGCATGGAGTTTCAACAGTTGCAAAACTTTAATAAGTTTGGTTATTTAGTTTTAGTTCATTGTTATATTTTATTTTTTATTCAATTAACAGGTTGAAATTAAATAAATTAAAATAAACAAGAAACTTAGCATTAACAAATAGCATGTGTGAGAATTTGTTCCTAGTGAGGTAATGGTCATATCAATCTATTGGACTGTAGCTGTAGTAAAATGGAAAGGAATAATAGCATTTTGGGTCATTTCACTATGAAAAGCAAAGGATCGGACCCTGTAGACTGTGTGTGGGCACTGGAATAGACATTGTGGGAGCAATGGAATAAAATAAATTACCGTTTTGATTCTGTCCCTCCTTCCTGTATCAAGAACCCAACATCAAGAATCATTCAATGCCTTCCTTTTTTTTTAGGGTTTAATGATAGAATCATTCAATTCGTAAGTGATTGAAGTTAAAAAAACTTGGTGCACTAAATAACAAACATCTCAATCTGCAAAGAGAAATAAATCGCTCAACTTCATATTTTCTATATTTTTGTTATGGTTTAGAATTTCTCTTCAATCTTCTTCTTAAATGGCACAAGACTGTTCTACTATTTAGACTGACTGAATGATTGGCATGTCAGACAGCTTAAAAAGTGAAATATAATTCAGCTTTTGCTTTACTCTGTAAGTTTGATGGACTAAACAAAAAAAGTAAAGGTACGAGCTTGTAGTGTTCCCAGGTGATTAGATAGTGGGCTTCACATGTCGCACCCTCTTCAATGCCAAAAAGCTAAAAGGATTTCTATTAAGAAGTCTATGTTCATGTCTTCTATAATTGTCCTGGCTATTGTTTTCGTGCAATTATCACATCTTAATCATTTGATTTATTTTAGAAGATTTAGATTGAATCCTATAGCAATTTTATACATAAATTTTGAATCCGATTACATTCATCTAAATTTTCCCATGCGCTCCTTCAACAATAGGAACCATTTTAGCATATCAAGTTGGGCTCTTTGGATTTGGGTAAGAATATCTTGGACCTGCATTGATCCATTTGCCTTAATAGATTGTCCCTAGTATGGTATGTCCTTGGTTTGACCGCAATTACATGATTTTGACTATATTGACTAAGTTGTGACCAGCTTGGTGTGTATGGTGTCAAGCTATTCGATCTTAGAAGAATTTCCAATAAACCATAAGAGTATGCAAACTTCACCTTAAATCTTGAAAGCCTAAATTCTAAATCCCTAATTTTTTAAATAATTAGTAAATCCTTCTATTACCCTAGTTTCTAAATTACTCTAAACCTAATCCATAAATTCTAACCCTTAAATTTATAATTTTTAACAACCCAAAATCCTTAACTCTTTAATATATAAGTCTTTAATATAGCTACAACAACATCAAGCCTTTATCCCATTACGTGGGGTTAGTCGCATGAATCTTTCTTCTCCATTGTCTTGTTTAAGAGTCAAATTATCATTTAAATCTAATAAGAATGTCATTTAATATTTTCTAGCCCTGTCTTTTTAGGTTTACCTCTACCTTTCTTAATATAGGTCAAATCTAATACATATACTCTCCTAATCGGGTCATCAAAATACCAACATTTTATATGATGAAACCATCTTATCTGCCACTGGATCTACTCCAACCTTTTCACGTATATACTCGTTTCATATTAGGTCTCTAAGAGTGAAGCCACTCATCTACTTATGCATCCTCATCTCTACAACACTTGACTTACTTTTATACTTTTCTTTTAATGACCAACATTCTATGCCATAAAGCATTGCAAGTATCACCATCATCTTATAGAATTTTTCTTTAAGTTTGAGGGATACTTTTCTATCAAACAATACACCTGATGTATTCCACCACTTCAATCATCCAACTTAAATACTACTAATAATATTCCCATATATTTCACCATCACTCTGAACAAATAGACTCGAGATATCAAAAACGTCTACTATGATTAACGATTTAATCACTCAAAATCATAACCCCCCCCCCACTAGATTTATTACTGCTAAAATTATACACTATGTATTAGATTTTTGATCTACTCAAACAAAAACCTTTAAACTATAAAGTTGACCTTCATAATTCATGTTTACCTTCAACTTCCTCTCTAGTCTTATCAACAAGAAGAATATCATCAGTAAAAAACATACATCAAGATATAGCCTCTTGCAAATGTATAGTAAGAGCATCCATGACTAAAGCAAAAAAATATGAGCTCAAAGTTGATCCTAAGAGTATTCCAACAGAAATAGGAAAATACTTGATCAAACCACCTTATGTTTGAACACAAGTAACAACTCATGCATAAATATCCTTAATGACTTGAATATAAGCATTATTAACTCCTTTTGTTTTCTAGAACTCTCTAGAGCACTTCTTTTAAAACTTTATCATATACTTTCTCTAAATCAATAAATATCATATGCTGATCATTCTTATTCTCTTTATACTTCTCCACCAAACCTCAATAAATGTATAGCTTCCATGGTAAACCTACCTGACATGAATCAAATTGATTTTGAGAAATAATAGTATCACATCATATAACCTATCCTCAATAGCTCTCTCCCATGGTTTTAAGTATGATACATTAACTTAATTTCTCTATAATTCAGACACTCTTATGCATCACATTTATTCTTAAAAATAAAAATCAACACATTCTTTCTCCACCCATTTGTAATCTTTTTAGTTTTCAAAATAATATTGAAAAATTTCGTAAGCTAAGAAATTCATTAATCTCCTAAGCATTTTCACACCTCTATTGAATAACATCATGTCCAACAGCTTTTTCACACTTTATTTTTTAAAGCTCCTCTAATTTTGATTTTACCAATATGCTGATAAAAATAAAAATCTCTATTTTTATTTGGGATGCTAAGATCACTAAAATCAATTGTATTCTCACAATCTTAAAAGCTTATCAAAATATTTCATCCACCTTTGTTGGATATCCTCTTCTACTAAAAGTATTTTTATCTTCATCCTTAATGCACTTCACTTGAATTAAATCCTTACTAACTTATACATACATACATACATACATATATATATATATATATAATCCTACTTAGTATATAATCAATTATATAAATCATTAAAAATATAATTCTTTGCATTGTATATTACTTTCTTGGACTCCTTACATATCTCTTTATATCTTTCTCAATTTTTTGGTTTTTTTATATCTAAATCAATTTTTATATATTTTTCGAACTCTTACATTTAAATCAAATTTTGAGCTTTTATATCTAACAAATCCTTTTTTATATACATATTTTGGTTTCACCAACAACTATTTTTACTATTACGAGTTTTTCATTTTGATACTTAAAGCACATTATTTCCAACATTCTTAATATTAATGGCTAAGTTTTCTCACATAATATTAGCTTCTCATGCATAATCAAAATCTTAAGATCTTGAATTTTAATCTAAAAAATATTTTTGTTAGTGTTCTTTAAATGGTCTCATCTAATCCTAGGTCAATATTTTATTTTATTTTTTATATTTTTCCCCTTTATCTTAAAGTCCAAAACTGATAGGTAATGCTGGGTACATAAACTTTGACTCGAAATAATTTTATAAACTTTGCAATCTAAATTATCTATTTTTCTAATAAGAAAAATATCAATCTAAATTTTATTATATTTATTTTTATAAGTGAGGAGATGCTTCTCTTTTTCTTAAATAAGGTATTAACAATTACAAAATTATAAGTTAGAACAATATTTAATATGATCCTATCACCTTCATTAGTCACTCCAAACATATAGCTACCATGAATACTTTTAAAATATTATACCTCTTTACCGACATGTCTATTTAAATATCCTCGAATAATATTTTTGTATTAATTTTTCTAACTTCTAAGACATTCCAAAATTTGAATTTTAAACACATATTTAAATATACTTAATTAGCATAAGCATTTATAATATTAATAATTTTAACATCAATAATGATCTTTAAAGCTATAATTTAATTTCCAATTCTATTAATTTCTACAATATTCTCTTTCATTATTATATATAATCACACAAACATCATTTCTAGTATGACTCTTGCTTGGATATTGTAGTTTAAATCCTAAACTATCAATCTCTTTAGCATTCTCTCCAACCTAATTAGTTTCTCGATTGCATAGAAATGTATCTTCTTCTAAATCATAATATCTATTAATTTTATTAATTTTCTTGTAAAAGAACCTATATTTCAAGTTTATATCCAAAATTTTAATTTTATGTACTAGTTTCTTTGTCCACTTCCATCCACGATGTGGGAACCCTTGCTTATTTAACATTATACTCGGGCATCAATGCAACGGTGTAATAATCCATATTTTGACCCCGTGAATCGGCCCTTGTACACTTCTCATTTTATTCATGCCATACAACGAGCGCATTGCTTCCAGAGAACGCCCTAATATTAACATAATGTATTAATTGATTCATGTCATGATTATTCGACAAGTTTGACGTTAATTGTCGATTATCTAACGTAGGGGTGTCAAAATGGATCAATAGGTTGGGTTTGAATCCGTCTCGAAATTGAATGAACCTAAAATTAACTCGATTCAAATCCAATCAACCCAAACTCAACTCTCTAAATAAATGGGTCAAAAATTTAAATTCAAGCTCGACCCACTAAAAACCCGAATTCAACCCAATAACCTATTTTAATTAAAAAAATAGCTTATTAGTTTATTAATCATAAAATTTAAGTTAATAGAAATAAAATAAGAAAATTATACTAATAAATAAATATATATATATATATATATAAAGCAAGTCAATTTTTGGTTAAATTGGGTTGGCATGTTGACCCGAACTCGACCTATTTAATAAATGGGTCAAATTGCATGACCCGAATCTAACCCATTTTTTAAATGAGTATACTCGAAACCAAATTTTTTAGGTTGAGTTTAGGTCGGGTCATTTATTGACAGCTTAACCTAATATGACCCTTCACTTTTCTCATCCAAGGCAGGCATGGGATATGATAACGACTATGTTATATAAGTCCTTTATATAACTAAAATCTATAAATCCCTCTATTGCACTTCAAATTTTTGCACTTAATCAAGATCGCTCATGTGACATGATACCATAAACAGGTCACATAAGTTAACCATCCCAAGTCATGAGGACCATCTACTTCTAATATCCAATCAAACTAGCTACTTCTGATTCAACGTAGGTATCATTGCCTTAGCAATCTTGATTCCAACAATATGGAAAAAAAGCATTTGTCCTTATCAACCTCGGTGTAACCACTCTATGTGACCAACTTTCACTAGCAAGATCAAACTCCTTTCATCTGACTCGAGGTTTCGAACCTTCAACATCTAGTTGGCTAGCCTTGAATATCATTCAAGCATTTTTTACTCCTTCAATAATTCACTTCCAAGCACATCCTCGTTTACATCAATAACCATGATCTATTGATATATCATTCATTTCCACCTATGTATAACAATGTAGCCTTGACATAAGGCATTACACAACAAGGTTGGGATTCCACTATATGAGATTCCTTTAGTCTACCCAAAAACCCTCTGCCATGAGTACCTACCATGATTTGAGATTAAGGCTTCGTTTGGGACAGTTTTTTTAGTGCTTCTTAAAACGGAGTTCTAGTACAAAAATTCAAAATTTTGAACTAGAACTCCGTTTAAAGAAGCACTAAAAAAGCCGTCCCAAACGAAGCCTAACTCTCTCCCAACTTGTCCAACTAGAAAAAGCCCAACACATGGCATGCACCATATCCATATCGACATGTATCCCTAAGGAGTGATTGTCAACATGTGTAACTCATCTCCCATTGTCATCCATCATGGAGATTCCCTTTTAGGTGTTGTGGTTTCTGATAAATAAGCCAAACTCCAAATCGTATAGGGGGTATGATGATATTTCCCTAAGAGAACTACTTGTTGGGATAGAAGTTATTCTTGTAATATCCTTTGTGAAAAGGGATAACTATAACATTCTATTGCAATATTGAAACATTCCTTCCCTTATAATGGAAGGCCAATATGTTCGAACAACTTAAATCTTCAAGTTTCTATGTGATGTGCATTCTTTTCCTCTTCCTCTTTACTTTCTCTCTACCTTAGAATAATAAATTTGGTTTAACAACTCTTTCCCCTTCCCAAACATTTGAAAATTTTATCATGTATCATTCATAGATTTTATCATTCACATTTTTTTGATGCTTTTAATAAAAAAGTCTATCTTACAAGAAAACTATTACAATGGAAATTCTACTAATGACTCTAGTTGAACTTCCTCAACCGCCTCTTCTTGCATCTTTAGGTAGTTGCATTTCTAAGAGTTGCTACTTCCACGCTCATTTTTATGATTACCACTCAATTCTCCCTTCTTGTTATAACAAATGTGATATTACATCACTCGTTTTCCCTAAGCAACCATAAGGTCAATGACTCTAATTCTTCAAGCAGCAAGCTGACATTAAAGGATTCTCCTTTTAAATATTTGATTGCAAAAAAGGTTCAAGAAGTAATGATGGGTTTCCTAAAAAGTGTTAAAATAGATAAATGCCAATAAAATAGTAATGCTCTATCCTATTTGCTCCACCATGAATATTCCCCTCTATTTGTCACTTTCACCTAAAAATAGGTTGATATAAGGTGACAATGAGCAGTACTATTATTACGACAAATAAGCTACTTATTAAGATATTAGTCATTTTTGTAATATCTACTCTCTTATTTGTATATACTATTACTTCTCCCTCTTGCAATATGAAGAGAGTTCCATATACTCTTTTGACATCAATAAATAGTAGTGCTTTCTCCTCCCCATGCTCCAAGGGAAAGCTTGGCCCATGGGAAACCTAAATTGCCCCGTGTGGCCTATAAGGGGAAATTTCACTAATCTTGATGCGAGCAATTAGACAAAGGATGCCATTGAGACTGCTCCAGTGAGATTTTGCAATGAATGTGATAAGCATGATGATCACGGCTAACATGATAATTATAGTTGCCATGAAGAACACCACGTCAAGTTGGCAATACATTGTCATTCTCTCCCTCACTTTATTATAGACATCAGTGAGATCTGTGTGGTGATTCAACATAGAAAATATTTCAAATATATGGCTTAGATTTATAGAATGGTTTTGCTCACTTGAAAGATGCAAAGTGTAAAGTGCAAGCATCATTGAACATTGCTTTAAATATACATAACAGATTCATGGACCTACGAATTCTCCTTCCCTGCACTTAAAAGAAAAAAAAAAACATCTCAAACCCTCCAAACTCATGATGCAATACTTTTATTCAATATTGTTGTTGGATTCAAAATTGATTGTGGATTATACCGAGCACTCCTTGTCGCATCCTCAGAACTCATCTAGCTACGCCGCCTGCTACAAGATCTCGGCATACCCATTGCATCTCCCACACCGTTGTTCTGCGACAACAAGTCCACCATCTCCATTGCAAACAATCTGATCCTTCAAGCTTGCACCAAACACATTGAAATCAATCTCCATTTCATACAAGATCAGATTACCTCCAAAGCTCTAATCATTCACCACATCTCAACCATCAATCAGCTCGCCGACATACTCATGAAAAATCTACCCATGTCTCGCTTTCATCACCTGAGGGACAAACTGCATATTCAAAACTTAGAATCCACGGTATGAAGGGGACTAACATAAGCAACAGCACATGTACTTTATGTACCATCCAAAATTGAATAACAAACTATTAAAATCCTCACCGCACATCAGGCTTCTATGCATGTATTCACTACCTATAAATACCAATGTAATAAGCTCATACACGGTTAATGAAAAGGTAGAGAAATCCCAACATCTGCTACTGCATTCTTCTCTGTTTTACAACCTGCACATTTCCTCTAACTCCACCATTTAGCATTCATTTAATTCGAAGGAAAAAGCTTCTTGAGAAATATGAGGAAATACTGAGAACAAAAACCTTCCTGCATTGCACATTGGCGAGAGCTAAAACGTAAAAAATGGGAACTCTTCAATCATTTGTTTCAGCACAGCATCTAAATAAACTTAGTAACTTTGTATCTTTGACAAGGATTGTACACTGCATTCCTGCACTAATTACATGGCAAGCATGTATTACAGTACCCTCAAATTGACAGAGAATATATACGCACACACAAGCCTTTTAGCATGCTTAAGTTCATGTAACAATACTGGTTCCTCCCTAGTTATCCTCTATGTGGCTCGTTTCCTTTACATAGTCTCTCATAAGCCTTGTATTGGATTCATCAACCATCTGTCAAATATGTTTTAACTTGTTGAAGTAGCCAGATGGAGTAATTTCTAAAAGAAATTTAAAATTAATGGTCAGGGTTTCTGGCGGTGAGAATTTCTGACCTTATGGGCTAACATCTGCAAGTTGTCCCACTCAAAATCTCTCTTAGAATATGCAGATCGAACCTGGATTGTTGAAATTTTCCAGCTTATAGTTTTCTAACTGAAACTCAAGAATAACTATTATTTACTGGAAAGATGAGACTAACCTCCATAATGCGCAGGGCTGCAAAATAAATTAAGATCTGATTAGTATGAAAATTACAAACATGAAGCCAGATTTGATGACGGGTAAAAAGGAAGATGCTCTTGTAAAGTTTCTGGACTGTAAGTAATCAAAGATAATTGAAGATGCATATAATGTTTATTATTGCAAATTTGTTGCGTCCCAGAGTACATTGCAGTAGAACACTTAGAGGACCTTGACATTGCCTGTATTGGTGAGCATGTTCTTCGTTTTTTTAAATGTCTGCCACGAAAGTACACCCGGGAGGTTTAATTTTGTGATTAAAACTATTCGCAAAAACGTAAAAATTTGAGAGATAAAAAAAAATCCAATTCATAGCCAGGTATTACATGAAATACAAACAACACAAAGAGAAAGATTGTTTTGATGAAGTAAACCTACTTTATAAACATTTCATGAAGAAAAATAGAGTTGTGCGGAGCACACCCTACTTGATAAACGTTTCATATAAGGCATTTTATTTCATATTGGCCTCGGATGTATGTTGGCCTTAGCTGTGCATTGATGATGGGTGCATTGTCAGATGCTGTACAGGTTAAAAATTAATGAACCAAATTTAAAAAATATATAATTGCTCTTTTATTTAAAATTTGCATTTCTCTTTTTAAATCTTAAAATTTTTGCATGTACCCGGACAAACGCATCAAATTCCTAAATCTAAAATATAAGAATGTCATGCAAGCTATAAAATAAAAGTAAACTTAAATTTCAAGTTCAATCATTCTCGGAAGGTTTGAAGTGGACAAAATATGAATCTAATATACAAGCATGAAATCCATGAAGTTATTTGGTTCTATGTTAGCATTAGACCTTCAATATCTTTTACAAAGAAAATTCATTACAGAATGCAAACCCTCGAGATCAACGCTAGTATAACAATTCACAAAATTGATACTCGAACATAATCCTTTGTTAGCAAACAAATTGAGTTGACAATGTTAAAATAATAAAATATTTGAAACTCTAATGATAGCTATATTGACATAAAATCTCAACCGAAGAGAAATTTATTTTAAAAAATGCACCCAATTTTCAAAATGAGTTACTTTGGTCCAAATTTTTTATTAAAATACAAAAAGCACAAAATTTCAAAAAATTTAACCTATTCAAATGAAATTTATCATTCAAAATTTAGAGCAAAAATCATCCATCTTTCGTTTGTCGAGGGTAATAAATTTGAGGATAACCTCAACTCAAAAAGGATTGAAGCGGATGTCATGCTTGCTTTATCAAGTACATCGTTACAATTTAAGGTGTGGGATGATATATCAAATATTGATTATTGAACCCTACCTTTTATTTAAGCAAAATGGATCTTCAAAATACTTCATTCACAATGCAGCTAGGATATAGTGCTAACATCCAACTTGCCAATGTCATTATAAATACTGGAACTCTAAAGCCACCATCCAATTTGTTTTGGCTTGGTTAACCAATAACAAGCATCAATTGATCATAATTTGATCATGGATGGTGTGAAATCTACCAATTTGTTGTGGATAACTGCAACAACTATTTCAAATGAAGATTGAAATGTCCTTTATAAAAACTATAATGCATCTTCATTCAAATCATTTGAGGGAGTTCTTCTAGTTTTAAAGATAGCATGAATTCTTTAAGAAAATTCAAAAGTGGAGTCCTCCAATATTGACACACAGCGCAACTCTCCCACAACATCTCTACAAACCAAAAACTTTGGTCAATACTATTTTTGGATACACCACAACCCTCGCCTCATGTTTTTGTTGCATATGGGCTTGCACTATAATTTCTTTCGAGTAAATTGTAACCCCTATTCTTTGTTTTTCATAAACACAGCTCTCAATTAAGTCATCATTATCCATATAAACAACGTTAAGTTGTTAACCACCAGTTTATGCTGCAATTGCTAACATGTTATCTCCCAACATTGTAATTGAAGGATTTTTTAACTGATCATTCTTCTTGCTAAAAAAAGTACTACATCGACATACATATACTAAAAGAGTGCCTAACAAAGAAAATAACTAACTAGCTAAATTCTCTCCTAAATTTTAGCAAGTAGAATCATAGGAGAATAAGTTTTTTCTAAAAAATAAAGAAATAGAATCATATGAGAAGATCATAATTGATCTCTCTTTTTATTCCTAAAATAAAAATCATAGGAGAATATCACAATCGATCTCATCTATTATTCTTAAAAATACTTTCCTAAAATAAATTCTCTAACTTTGACTTTTAAATATTCAACACTCCCCCTCAAGTTGGAAAATATATATAATATAATCCAAACTTACAAATTAAGTCTTCAAAGTTAGGTCTAGGTAGAGCTTTCGTGAGAATGTCTACAATTTGTGCTAAGTAGGAATGCATTTTAATTTAACAGTTCAGTAGTCACCTTCTCTGTAATGAAGTGTCTATTAATTTCAATGTGCTTAATCTTGTCATGATGCACGAGATTCTTAGCTATGCTGATAGCTGCCTGATTATCACACATCATCAGAATAGGAGATGAATTCATTGGTCCCAGTTCACTAACAACCTTTTTTATCCAAATCCCTTCGCAAATTCCTTGTGCCAAAGCCCTCTATTCAGCTTATGCACTACTTCTGACTACCACTAATTACTTCTTACTCCTCCAGGTTCCAGGTAACAAGATTACCCCAAACAAAAGAACAATACCCAAAAATTGATCGTCTGTCAATGATGTTCTCTGCCCAATCTGCATCTGAATATACTTCAATGTCACAATTCTTTGTCTTTCTGAAGAATTGGCCTTTCATGGTGTCAACTTCAAGTATCTAAGAATCATGTAGACTACTTCCATGTGTTCCTTTATAGGATTGTGAATGAATTGAATTGCAACATTCACTGCAAAACCAATATATAGTCGAGTGTGTAAAAGATAGATCAGACGTCCAACAGTCTCCGATATCTCCCACTACAAATGTACTTTCTTTCTCGACGTCAAATTTCTTCTGACTGTCCATAGGAGTATCAACAGGTTTGCATCTAACTATACCAATCTCTTTAAGAAGATCTAGAATATATTTTCTTTGAGAAACAACAATGCCCTTTTTTAATCTAGCCACTTCCATACAAGGAAATATTTAAGATTTTCAAAATTTTTAACTTCAAACTCTTCCGACAAATACTTCTTCAATCATTCCCAAATAAAATATTATCAACATAGACTATCAATATAAAAAAAAATTTAGCATGAGATTTCTTGACAAATAAAGTATGATCAGCTTGACCTTATATGGAGCCTAGCTTCAAAACAACCTTTGTAAATCTGTCAAATTAGGCTCGATGAGATTTTTTAAGGGTGTAAAAGGACTTCTTGACTTTGCAAGTCTGATTCTTTGCTATCCCTCTTTCAAAACCATGTGGAATTTCCATGTAGATTTTCTCTAGCACGGTTGTTGCTCCCGTGAGATACTCAGCATTTCCCTTATCGCAAATGAACAGCAACACAGATTGTGACCACTACAATTAATTATGGTCATTTAATTTGTGTCATGTGATGAGAATAGGAGAAGAATCACTGCCACCAAGGTTTGGAATCTTTGAACTTCTTTTTGATTTTGGTGCCGTGACGTCTGATGTTTATGATGAGGCTATTTTGTATTGCAAAGAAGAAAATGAGGGAGGAGAACGAATAAGGTTGTTGGACATATAGAAGACGAAGGGCAGGACGAATATGCCAGAGAGAGGCGCCTGAAGGTATTAGGGTTCAGATAATTAGTTTAATACCATAGAAAATTTTTATTTTATTATTTTTCTTGTTCAAAATATATATATTGCATCTACATTTATATCCTAAAAGAGCACATAATAAAGGAAATAGCTAAACTAGCTTAATTATCTCCTAAATTTTAGGAAATACAATCATATGAGAATATTTTTTTCTTAAAAATTAGGAAATAGAATCATAGGAGAAGATCACAGTTGATCTTTCCTTTTATTCATAAAAATACTTTCTAAAAATAAATTCCCTAACTTTGACTTCCAAATATTCAACAATATTGATGTTTTTGTTGCCTATGGACTTGCATTAAAAGTGCCTTTGAGTGCATTGCAACCCGCGTTCACTGTTATTCATAGCCAAAACTATTAATAAATCATCTTTTCTTGAATCAAGAACATCAAAAAGACATCAACCAGCATATGTTGCAACTATTGACACCATATACTCCTGCATTGGATTGAAAACTTTTCTGACTTTGCAGGGAAGGGCAGCAATTCATAACTCTTTTTATAATAGTAAATGCTGTTTAGCTGCGCAAGGCCCTATGATTATGAGATTTTCCATGCAAAAAAACTAATATCCGTATTCTTTGGTTTTCTTAATTAATCATGTGTAAGATAAATAAATTAAGGCAATCAAAATTGACCCTCCTCGATCTCCTAGCTCAATGTCATACATGCAACAATAGTGATGCAAACAAAATGCTTTGCTAAATAGATAATTCAACAGTATCCAGCAAAGCAGAATCCTTTGTAACTTGCAAAGAGTCAGGTGAAAGGCTTTAACAGTAAAAAAATGCATTTTAACATGTTTTTGCGTAGTCAATTAGATGTGTAGGCAACTGATGAAAATGTCTTTAAAAAAGAACAGAATAAATAGTAACAAAAAAAAAGCGAATTCCTTGCATAGGTATTCATAAATGGACAAATTTAATCTCCCCATTAAAAAATAACAAATTCTCCAAACAATTCAGGTTTAAGGATTATGTACTCTATTTGATTCAAATTATAACTCCAACCTAAGCCTTTGTGCCTTGGAGATTCCCGCATCAATCTTCTGCAAAACTGATCGCCATCATTCAAGGAATTGCGGCTTACAAACTCCATCAATTCCTCGTACGCTTCCCGATTGTAACTCTACTCATCAAGGGAATGGATTCATCAAATTAAAAATATATTAAGACAGGCAGAGATGATGATGACTAGCCTGAAGCTGTGAGAGAACGATTTTGATAGCAACGAAGGTGAAGAAATGGTGAAGGTTCGCAGCGGCCTTCGCTTCTGGAGATGCTTCGCCAAACCCTGAAACAGGCGCATTTCAATGGTGGCATAAGGCTTTCAAAATGGAGAGCATAGGAGAGTTAAGTGATTACCGGGGACAAACATCTTCTGGCAGCGAGAAGGATGGAAGCCTACGAGCTGCCGGAGGTGGAGAGAAGAAGAGCGCCGTGAAGACTTGCCGGGCAAGACGATTGATAAGGATGGCGCGCGCAATAAGGAAGCCAAGCAGCACTCCATGGCAGACACAAATTTTGGCTGAGGATATCCTCGCGGCCTCGCCAAAATTTTTGGTGAGCATAAACCTTAATTTTTTTTATTTACAAAATAAGTTAATTAAAATTAAATCAATAATTTAAGATGAAAAAATGTCTCTCTATGCCTCAAATATCCCCTTAATTTATTTTCATGTAAAAATGTCTACTGTAATATTAAGAAAACTTCCATCTTACTAAATATGTGTAAGACTATGAGTGGCAATATTTTAACATATAAGCCCAACATAATTTTGTGACAAAATAAATTCACAATTCCAAGACAAAGAAGGCTTTGGATCTGACCTCCCTATGAGTAAGACTTGCGGTCTCACTTGAAGAAGGCTACATATCCTAACTTAAGCGCTCAGCTCAATTAGGCAATGCTTACATTTTGATTTTGAGATTGACTTTGGCTGAGTCTAGTGCCCTTGTAAACATGGCGGCTCAAGAAAACATCTTACTTTGTTTGTCTTCTAAGTTTATTTGTTTAGTGTCATGAGCATTTAATTTCCTATTGTCAATATGTATCCATCAATTTGGTTCTTAGAGTGAGGTAAGTTTGATTTGATTTTGATGTACCTTTACAACCTTAGTTTTGGAAGTTAAAAAAACATAAATTTGATTTGGTATATTTTTTATTGAAATTGGGATATACTATCCTTAAGAGAATGTGAACAATCATTTGTTTGAAGGTAAATATTTATGAGACTTGGCTAATGCCTTTAGAAAGAACTTGAGCCTATCATGCGAGTACTTTTATAAGATTTTTTCATACTAATTAAGTGCAAGACATCTTAACGAGTACATTATGACTGAATTCCTTGGTGTCTTAGCTATTTATGTGGTGTCTCAACAATGACATTGGGGAGCTTGTGAGTTCAACAATGACATTTTGGATTTATGTTAGATTATTTAGTTTTGATCATTGTGCATGGCATTGACTTGATTTTGAGTTTTAGTTTCAACATTTTTTTTTTCTTAGAAGCCAAGTTGTTTATTCATTTGTTATTTAGACCTTTTATGTTGTGTATTCAATATTATTTAATTTGAGAAATGTTGAATTCAAAAATACTTCGTACAAGGAAGAGTGTCAAATTAGTGCACAAGGTGACTCAGAGCATATTATGTCGTTCTAGTAATGTAGAGCCTATTTTAATCAAGGATTGTGCATGCTTTTGTCTAATTATTTAAACAATTAACAATAAAATATTGAGCTATTAGGGAGAGCATAGTTGATTATCCCTTTGCATTTTCTTAGTAAGAATTATTTATATTTTATCGCTTTGCATAACTTAGTCGAGTTTTATGATGTAATGAAGAGTCCTAATGCATATATAAGAGCATAGGCAGATAACCACTTTGGATGAGGATAAGTCCTACAAATAATTGAGCATATAAGCATCAAGGATGTTGTTTAGAGAGTTTGTTACACCCCATTTTGATCCCCTTACAACTAACCTGGAGTATAACGAGAAGAAAAAAATCTAAACATGCCCCTTCTTACTGACACCAATTATGGACTACTTATATTAGAATCAGATGAGTAAAAAGTAATCTTTTTAAAAAATTTTAACCTATCAAGCTTTATAATTAACAACAACAAGCATGTAATATATCTCAATTAAACCTTAAATATAATGCACATCTCAAAAGAAATACAGAACTTTAAATTTTATTTACATATCCCAAAAGTCTTTGTACATCCTCCAGTTGAACATCTATGTACACTCAAAATATATGTACACCAAAAAGAATAGTCACCCCTTTCTACAATTTAGTGTCATACTAGCTCCTTTTCATTTTTTACAATACAACCACACTACTAATGAGCTATGACTCAATGAAATACACATGTATTGTATAAAAAATAATAATTACATTTATTTTGACATTTAATTTTAAACACATTAAAATTCCTTACTAATCATAAAAAATGCACCACATCACTTCTTATCTTATTTAAAATTCAATATATTTAGATAAGTCATATAATGATTATAAGTTTTTGCACTCTCTCAGCTTACCAATTCAAGGTTGGGTCTGAATTCACAACTTTTAGAATTGAAGCTGCTTTCTCATTCAAGATTAGGTCTGAATTCCTAAGCTTATCTTTCGTCTTTATTTGTGCGGGCTTATCCCTCATATATGACTTATTTTACTTTTCACATATAATTCATTTTTCACAATCATATTGTATGCTAATGTAATCATTACTACTTAATGAATCAATAATAAATCAGAATAAACTTGAAGAAATGTTATTATAACATAACAAACATGAATTTATAAATATATAAAATTTTACTATTTCCTATGTATCATTTGGATATCTCACATTGCTAGGAATTTGTTCTCCTATAATACCTTGTCTTCTTTTCCTTCTAACCTAAAGAATAAGAAAATTTATATATAAATTCTTACCTTTAAATAAAAGAACAAGTTATGATACACTCAAATATATAGAAGTCTTTACCTCTACTAAATTTTTCCTCATTCACAATTTTCTCACCTCTACTTTCCTCTTCCTCTCTTCTTCGCTACTTGATTCAACAATTGATATAAATAAAATAACATCATCCTTGCAAAAAACCTGAATTCCAGTAAACCTGACGCATCCTCCCACCTGACGCATCTTTACGTTCGGTAATCCTTGATAACGCGACACCTGGCAACAACAATACCCGTTAACCGACCCGGCGAAGAGTGGGTTTATGGCACGTGCGAAATTTAAAAATGAGACGGCACGAACAACGGACCCGAAAATTATACTGCGGAACCGAGAAAAACTGGCGAGACAAACTTTACTGTGCCTTCATCTTCTCCAACCGGCGCTTCTTCTTCAATTTCAGTGAACTTGCTAGCTCCGCATTTACGATGCCTCAGGTTAGTTTCATCTTCTGTAAACACGAATAAACTTGCAAGTTACCGAGCAATACTGCTGCGGTATTATTGTAGTTAAAGATTGGTTAAGTTATCGGTTGAGCTTGATACCGAGCTTTACCGAGCATTCTTAAAGTCGGTAGTGCTAGGTATTTGCAAGCAATGGTCGGCAAAATACCTAGCATTGGTAGCAGTAATCTTCTTATGTGGTATTTAGGGTTAGGGTTTACCTAGCGGTACCGCCATGAAAGAACAGAATGAGTTTAGCATTGATCGGTACTGCTCGGTACCTATGCGCAACGAGCATAAAAATTAGTCGGTATTGCTAGGTATTGCTCGTTACCGAGCAATACCGAGAAATACCGAGAAGCAATAATATTCGGTATTGCTCGGTAATTGCCTATAATTGCTTGTATGAGATCACTATTGGCACGTAACAGGCCGGTGCAACTCGATACCGAACTGTACCGAACAATACCGAGCAATACCGAGCAATACCTAGGAGTCAGTATTGGGCGTTATTAGTTATTAGCATTGCTAACGATTGATTTTAAGCAGGGATATACTCCAAAGATTCATTTCCGATGCCGGACTTCGAGTTTTAGAGAAGTTTGTAATGGGCTTGTTAAAAGGTTTGGAGATCCTTTGGTTGATAGACTGCGTCAGTTGCAAATCAGCCAGTTCCTCCGCCTACCTCTTATGCCTCAAAATGTTCCACTTATACATATGCTATTATCGAAGTGGGACATGAAGACTGAAAGTTTTATTATTAAAGGACAAAGTCTAAAATTTACATCTGAGGAAGTTGCATTACTGATTGGCATGCCAAATAGGGGTATTATTTTTGACAGTGGCAGTGGCAGATCCAGTGGCAAAACAACAAATGACATTCGCCGCGACATTGAGAGGATGGATAGTAGCACTCCAATGGATGATCTCGTGAATTGCTTCGTCCTTTACCTGCTATCGAACATATTTTATCCAATGGCTAACTTCCGCATACCATTAGCCATCTTGGAACTTCTTAACAATCTTGATACATTTAATCAGTACAACTGGCCTGAATCAATTAGGAGTTTCCTAGTTAAAGAATTCAACGTTGTTGCTTCCAAACAAGCCAAAGGATTTGGCCTTGGTTATGTAAATGGTTTTGTAATGATTTTAATTGTGAGTATTCTTTGCTTTTTCAATAAATGTTTAATTAGTGTACAAAACCTATAACGAAATTATATTGTCTTTAATTTTACAGATTTGGTTTCTTGAACATACAACAATTCATGCTGTAAAGGATGATCGATCCCGGCCTCGATTTACTCGATGGGATGGTAACTTTATTTACAGTGAGAAAGAAGTAATTAGTATGTTTACTCAACTTCAAGATGATGAGGTACGGTCACTATATAATTTTATTGAATTGCGTTTTGATATTGTATTTGTTTTATGGATTAATGAGATGCAATGTATGACCTTTTGCAGATAATTATAGAATTGAAAGATATAACTGATGATGAGAAGGTTTTATTGCTGCTTGTTTCTCCACCCGCAAGTCCAATACGTGTGTAAAAAGTAGAAGAAAAACAAACGTTACAGATAAAAACTTACTAATATCAAATCAGAAAATGCTTCGTCATAGCTTAAAGTTTGAGTTTCCTCGCAGAATATGAAGTCTTCAAAACCGGAACCTTCATTCGATCCTTCCATCTCCTTAAAAACTTTACGACTTAAGGTATTTGAAAATTACGGGAACCGTAAAGACTGTAGAACATTTTAGGTTTAATACAAGAAAGGTTTTTATAACAGAGGTAAAAGCCGCGTATTTCTTTTATTTCCCGCCCATTTCATATACATTACCACGGGGTTAAAGCGTATGGGCTAACGTCGGGTCAATAGGGTAAAGTTGTTGCCAGGTGTCGCGTTATCAAGGCTTACCGAACGTAAAGATGCGTCAGGTGGGAGGACGCAATAAAAAGCAGCATGTTTCTTACAGATTTTAGCAAAATTACAGTCTTTATCTTTACTGTTTTCTTGCCTCACTATTTTCTGGCATTTTCCCTCTCTTTTTCTCACTGATTAACAACTACTACAGCAGATCTAACTCTATTACAGCCCACTACAACAACTATATAGCGTCTAATTCGATTCATATACTTGAATTCGATAAAAATACATTCATTTCCTAATTGTTTTCATTATATTCAACAAATCCAACCTACAACAACCTTAATATTCTCTATAGTTTACCTTAATACATGTTGAATTCTCCTCTACATCTGCCAATAGCAATAACCCCAAATTTATCTCCCAGCTTCTCACGGCTAACTTCAGCACAAAAAAATGTATTTTTTTTACCTGTCGGGTAGGGAGAATGAAAATGGGATGCAAATGCTTAAGGCTAATGCTTAATATACTAATTATTTAATGCACTAACCTCCACTAACCTCCACAATAAATTAAATTTATCTATACCTAAATCCACTAACACCTGTTAGGCTGTTAGTTGTTCACAACCGTTGATTTCAGCTATCCAGAGATCAACCCCTTGCATGCACATATTAGTGGAAAACAAAATCTTGCATGTAAATAAATATTTATATGCTACGGTACTTTGATTAACTTTTAATTAATTATTCTGTTAATTAAATCCTTAGGGTTTAATTTTAGTAATCAAATATATAAATTATTATACTTTGAAACTCCTATATATCAAAATGTATGAAATTAAAAATAGAATTTAATGAAACTAAATAAACATTTTGAGAAAATTTATGCTTACATTATTTTGAATGTTTTGGGTATTACATATATAACTATTAAGTTTTTATCTTTGGCATGTAAGCCCATAGCCCCCATAAAAATGTATATGCTTGATATGGATGGACTTTATCTCAAATAAGTATACCAACATGCAAGCTCTCTTTAATGATCGAACCAGTTGTAAGGAGAAATATAATATGTAGACTATTAAGAAGGCTTGGAGTATTGCTCTTGGTTTTCTAACCCTAACAACCAATTATAAATAGTATGATTCCTTATTTTATATAACATATAAGAAGAGCATGAGACAATCAAGCGGAGTCCACATCGATGAACACATAATCAATGAGGTGGTGTATTCGACAGGGAGCCTTGAATGTAAATCACATGGAATTACAATGTAGTATAAGCTAATAATGGAATGTTGTGCTTATCATTTACATTTAAATATGTTCACTTGTAGCTAATAGAAGTGATTGTATGATTGCCTTGAAAAAAAAAAAAAAACTTTTATTCAATACAACTCCATATGATCATATAGGAGTTGCAATTGACACAATAATGTAACAAATGCATAACTTCGAATCAAATTAAAGTTAAATTGAAGTAGTACTAGATTTTAAATTTATAACATATATTAGATCACTCTTCTATGTACACTTTTTCATTTTAGTCATCAATGCTTAACACCACATATCATAAATAATAATATTAAGTAGTCGTGTTGGGCTTGGGCTCCTTTCCAGTTGGGTCCAAGTCAGAGCCTTTATCGATTCGGACAGTTTTTCTCCCTCCATATTCTGCATTTCACAACTTGATAGATCAATATCGTCCCAGCCCTCCTTGTGTAGAGTGTAACCCCTTAATGCAGATAGAGAAGCTTGAGGTGCCGTCGCCACCTACAGCGGAGCCGGAGGTGCAGTGGCGGGAACCACCGACTATTCGGCGGCTGGAAGAATCGGTCACGAACCGAATCGCTGCGGGTGAGGTGGTGCAGCGGCCGTCTTCGGTGGTGAAGGAACTGGTGGAGAATAGCCTCGACGCCGGCGCCACCTCTATATCCGTCGTTGTTAAAGATGGTGGCCTCAAACTTATCCAGGTCTCTGACAATGGCCATGGTATTCGGGTATTGCCCTTGCGATTTTTCTTCCTCTCTCTAGGGTCTTGTGTGTCCTATATATAGCTTTTTTTAGCATTCTACATTGCATTTCCTTTCGAGATTTCTCTATTTCATTGTCGTTTTTGGACTAGAATCCCAAGGAAATGGCGGTTCCATTAAGACTTCAATTTGGAAAAAAAGCTGTTATAAGCCTGCGCGTTTGTAGTACAAATATGATACGGCGGGGTTTACATCTTTTTACAGCTTTAGTAAAGATAATGCTGTTTGTAACATCGAGTTAAGTTTTGCAGAAACTTTTCCAACTTTCTGAACTTTCTGCTTATGAACTAAATAAGTTATTCTTTCCTGTTCTTCTTGCTATGTTAACGAGAAGAAATAGCACTTTTCATAAGGGGCTGTTTGTTTGCTAGTTTTCAAAATACAGGGGTATTTAAAAACAATGTGAATATATTGAATTTTGAATTTTTTGGTATGTTTGATTTGCTGTAAAATAAAGTTAGCCAATCTCTTTTTTGTGTTTGAGTGGTAGTAAGATAAACTTGCCAAATCCTTGAGATGGGCACAAGAAGTCAGGAACGAGCAATTGCGACAACAAACATTGTGCGGCCGCAATGGCAATAGTGCAAAACATGAGAATTGTGTATGATCATGTCGACGAGGGATTTCGATGACCACAATGGTGAGGGTTCAACGATGATGACCCTCTGTTTCTCACGGCCTCGAGGTTGGGGACGATAAGGATCAATGTTGATTTTGGTGATGGCTTTAGGGAGCCAGATCATTGTGTGGATTGCAAGTGTTACAATGTTGTGTGGGTTCGCTAGGTTTTTTCCATGAGGTTAAGGTCTTTTATTATGAAATCGTCTGATTTGTGCGAATTCAAATTGAGAAAAAATCAACTATGGGATGTATTTTAAACCCCCCCAAAAGATTACTTTGAATTTGTTTCTCACTCTGTCAACCATCTAAAAATTTGTAACACGTTTCGAAAATGTTACACTCTTAATACACCCAATCAAATAAGCCTAAATGAAATAGAAAAATTCTTTTGAAGCCATTATGGGCCACACACAATGATGCCCACAATACTTTATATATTCTTGCAACAATAACAGCAACAACATCAAGCTTTATCCTACTATGTGGGGTCAGCTACATGAATTCTTTTTCTCCATTATGTCCTGTTAAGGCTTAAGAGTCAAATTCTCATTTAAATCTAATAAAGAAAGGTCATTTATAATATTCTCTAACCAATTCTTTTTAGGTCTACCTCTACCTTTCTTAACATAAGTCAAATCAAATACATCTACTTTCCTAACCGGGTTATCAGGAGGTCGCCATTTTATGTGACCAAATCATCTCAGGCGACTCGCTCTAATCTTATCTTCCACTAATGCTACTATAATCTTTTCACGTATATGCTCATTTCGTATCCTGTCTCTAAGAGTAAAGCCACTCATACAACTAAGCATCCTCATCTCTGTAACACTTAACTTAATATTATGCTTCTCTTTTAATGGTCAACACTCTGCACCATAAAGCATTTCAGGTATCACCACCAACAACAACAACAACAACATCAAGCCTTTATCCCACTACGTGGGGGGTATCACCACCATCTTATATAATTTCCCTTAAGTTTGAGTGGGACATTTCTATCACACAACAAGCCCGATGTATTACTCCACTTCAACCATCCAACTTGAATTTTGCTAATAATATCCACATCTATTTCACCATCATTCTAAACAATGGACTCATAATATCTAAAATGCATACTCTTATTAATGACTTGATCGCTCAAATTTACAATTCCCCCGCTAGATCTATTACTACTAAATTACTCTCCATATATTCAATTTTAGATCTACTCAAACGAAAACCTTTAGGCTCTAAGGTTGACCTCCATAATTCAAGTTTACCTTCAACTCCGTCTCTTGTCTTATCAACAAGAAGAATATCATCAGCAAAAAACATATACCAGAGTTACAACCCCTTGCAAATGTCTAGTGAGAACATCCATGACTATAGCAAAACGTTATGGGCTTAAGGCTGATTCTTGATGTAATCCAACAAAAAATAGGAAAATACTTGGTCAAACCACCTTGTGTTTGAATACAAGTAACAACTCTTGCATAATATCCTTCGTGACTTGAATATAAGCATTATTAACCACTTTCTTTTCTAGAATTCTCCATAGCACTTCTCTTGGAACTTTATCATATGATTTCTCTAAATCAATAAATATCATATGTAGATCCTCCTTATTCTTTCTATACTTTTCCATCAAATCTCTCAATAAATTTATAGGTTCCACTGTAGACGTACCAGGTATGAATCCAAATTGATTTTGAGAAACATTAGTATCACACCGCAACCTATGCTCCATAAATCTCTCCCAAAGTTTTAGAGTATGACACAATAACTTAATTTCTCTATAATTCGCACAATCTTGTGCATCATCTTTATTCTTAAAAATATGAATCAACACACTCATTCTTCACTAATCTAGCATTTTTTACTCTTCAAATTAATATTAAAAAGTTTAGTAAGCTTAGAAATTCATTTATCTCCTAAGCATTTCCATACCTCTATTAAAAAATCATCAGGTCCAATAGTTTTTCCACTCTTTATTTTCTTTAAAGCCTCTCTAACTTCAATTTTACAACTACACTGATAAAAATAAAAAAATTTATTTTTATTTAGGGTGCTAAGGTCATTAAAGTCAATCACATTCTCATAATCTTCATTGAAAAGTTTAGAAAAATATCTCATCCACCTTTTTTGAATATCCTCTTATAATAAAAACACTTTTTTATCTTCATTTTTAATAAACTTCACTTGAACTAAATCCATACTGCCCTTATCTCTTTGTTTGGCTAATTTATACATATATCTTTTTGCTCTCCTTAGTATCTAATATATTATAAATTATTAAAAGCTAAAATCTTTGCATCGCATCTTACTTTCTTAGACTTCTTACGGACTTTTTTATATATTTTTTAATTATCAGAATTTTTACATCTAAATCAATTTTATAACAAATCTTCTTATCTTTTATCTTTTTTTGCACATTTTGATTCCACCACCAACTATTTTTACTATTATGAACGTTTCCTTTTGATACTCTAAACACATATTTTGCAATATTCTTAATATCACTAGCTATGTTTTTCCTGCATAATATTAGTTTTCCCATGTACAAACAAAATCTTAATACTTTATCTATTGTTAAATTTGATTTTTTTCATTTAATATGATGCTTTATAGTGCAATCAAGAAATATCACTTTTCTTTAGGGGCTACTTCTTTGCTAGTTTTCAATATATAAGAGTATTTAAAAACAATGTAAATTGAATATATTGAATTTGGATTTGTTTAGGTTTAGGATGTTTGATTTTCTGTAAATAAAGTTGGCCAACCTCTTTTTAGTGTTTGAGTGCTAGTAAAATAAACTTGCCAAATCCTTGATATGGGCACAAGAATGGGCAAATGCGACGACAAGCATTGTGCGAGATCTTGGCAATTGCAACAATATGAATGATGAGCATTGTGCATGATCATGTCGACGAGGGATTTCTATGACTGCAATGGTGAGGGTTCAACGAAGATGACCCTCTGCTTCACCCGGGCTCGAGGTTGGGGATGATAAGGATCATGGTTGATATTGGTGATGGCTTTAGGGAGCCAGATGATCGTGTGGATTGCAAGTGTTACATCTTTTTTTTTTGGGTTTGCTAGGTTTTTCCCATAAGGTTGAGGTCGTGTATTATGAAATCGCCTGAATTTTGCATATTCAAAATAGAGAGAAAATCAACTATGGGATGTATTCGAAACCCCTCGAAAAAATATTTTGAATTTGTTTCTCACTCTACCAAACTTCAAAAAAATTACAACTCATATTTCGAATGCGTTGCACTCCTGATACACCCAATCAAACAACCCTAAATGAAATAGAAAAATTCTTTTAAAACCAAGTTGGGCCACACATAGTGATGCCCACAATACTTTCTATTTTTAAATTTGATTTTTTAGTTTAATATGATGCTTTATACTACAATTAAGAAATAACACTTTTTAAAGAGGTTGTTTGTTTGCTAGTTTTCAGAGTACTAGGGTATTTAAAAACAATGTAAATTAAATATATTGAATTTTGTAGAATGTTTGATTTACTGTAAAATAAAGTTAGTCAATCTCTTTTTTTGTGTTTGAGTGGTAGTAAAGTAAACTTACGAAATCCTTGAGATGGGCACATGAACGGCCAATTGTGACAACAAGCATTGATTAGGATCTCGACAATGGCAACAGTGCAAATGATGAACATTGTGTATGATTATGTCAACGAAGGATTTCAATGACCGTAATGGTGAGGATTCAACGATGATGACCCTCTGCTTCTCTCAGGCTCGAGGTTGGGGACGATAAGGATTAAGGTTGATCTTGGTGGTGACTTTAGGGAACCAGATCACCTTGCGGATTGCAATGGTTATGTTGTTGTGCGGGTTCGCCAGGTTTTTTCCATGATGTCGAGGTTGTGTTTTATGAAATCACCTGATTTGGATGAATTCAAAATGGGGAGAAAATCAACTATGAGATTTATTCTAAATCCCTCAAAAATTACTTTGAATTTATTTCCCATTCTGCCAAACATCTAAATATTTATAGCACATATTTCAAATACGTTGCACTCCTGATACACCCATCAAACAACCCTAAATGAAATAGAAAAATTCTTTTAAAGCCATTTTGGGTCACACACATTGATGCCCACAATACTTTATCAATTTTAAATTTGTTTTTTTTTTTAATGTGATGCTTTATCCGGCAGTCAAGAAATAACACTTTTCTTAAGGGGCTATTAGTTTGCTAGTTTTCAAAATACTTGGGTATTTAAAAACAATGTAAATTGAATATATTGAATTTTGATTTTTTTAGAATGTTTAATTTGGTGTAAAATAAAGTTAGCCAATCTCTTTTTGTGTTTGAGTGTTAGTAAAATAAACTTGCCAAATCCTTGAGATGGGCGCAAGAACGAACAATTATGGCGACATCCGTTGTGCGGGATCTTGACAATGACAACAGTGCGAATGATGAACATTGTGCATGATCATGTGGATGAGGGGTTTTTATGACCGCAATGGTGAGGGTTTAAAGATGACGACCCTCTGCTTCTCCTGGGCTCGAGGTTGATGATGATAAGGATCAAGGTTGATATTGGTGATGGGCCGATGGCTTTATGGAGCCAGATCACCGTGTCGATTGCAAGGGTTATGTTGTTGTGCGGGTTCGTCAAGTTTTTTCCAAGGTCTTGTGTTATGAAATCGCCGGATTTGTGCGAATTTAAAATGGAGAGAAAATCAACTATGGGATGTATTTTAGACCCTCTCAAAATATTACTTTGAATTTGTTTCTCACTCTGCCAAACATCTAAAAATTTATAACACATATTTCGAATACGTTGCACTCATGATACACCCAATCAAACAATCCTAAATGAAATAGAATAATTCTTTGGAAGCCCACAATACTTTATCTATTGTTAAATTTGATTTTTTTAGTTTAATATGATGCCTTGTGCTACAGTCAAGAAAAAAAATGATTTATGTATTTGGATGTAAGATAAGTAGACTTGAGAACAAATACTCAGTGAAACATTAAACTCATGATTTGCCTTTTTTGGGTTGTATATAAAGGTTCATATTGAGATTGTTTGCAGTTAATCCTAATTTAGATGTATTTGTACATTTTACTCGGCTGGTGTAATGCTTCCAGTTATATTATTCTTATAACTTCCTTATAAACTTGCTATTGATAGCTAATGTAGAAATTGTCATTTTGAAAGTATGAAGACTTGCCTATATTATGCGAAAGGCATACGACATCAAAACTTACTTCATTTGAAGACCTACAAACTATCAAATCAATGGGTTTCAGAGGTGAGGCATTAGCTAGCATGACATATGTTGGTCATGTTACTGTCATGACTATAACAGATGGCCAACTACATGGTTATAGGTATGCATTTCTGTAGTCATTGCCCCTGTGCTATCTATTGTTCATTTTCTTTGTGCTTATTCTTTTATTTCCTTATTCTACTATAGAGTATCTTATAGAGATGGAGTAATGGAGCATGAGCCCAAGCCATGTGCTGCAGTGAAAGGGACTCAGATAATGGTAATAAGATTAGAACATCCAGAAAGTCTCATATGGATTAAAATCATTTATCCCTTTCACATTGCTCAACCATTAATGTATTTATGGTTTATGAATTGCGCATATTGATTTCCAGGTGGAAAATTTGTTTTACAATATGCTTGCTCGTAGGAAAGCATTACAGAATGCCAGTGATGATTATCCTAAAATTGTAGACCTTATAAGTAGGTTTGCAATTTATCATACTAATGTCAGCTTTACCTGCAGAAAGGTGAATTATTAGCAATTCTTAAATTTGCATATATGTGTGAAAGATTGGGTGATTTACATGCATGCTATAAATTTCTATGTATTTATTATTTACATATCTAACATCTAAATTTTTATATTTACTTATATAACACTTTAATTGTTATATCACATCAAATAATATGGATCAAAATGTGTTCTTTTACTTCAAATAAGTTAATATTAATGATATTTTTGATATGATTTAGATATTTGAATATTATATAATTAAATAAAAAGACCAAGGTGTTAGATATATAAATATATTAGAATTTATGATATGTATGTAAATCACCCTAAATTTCATTATTATTTTTTTCCTTTTGTCTGATTTGTCCTTTATTTCTGCATATGATGACTTAGCATGGTGCAAATAAGGCAGATGTCAGTACTGTGATTGCTGCTTCAAGGCTTGATGCTATCAAAATGGTTTATGGTATGCCTATTGCCCGTGATCTGATGGAGATAGGTGCTTCAGACAACAATCCTACTCGATCAGTCTTTGAGATGGATGGTTTTATTTCCAGTGCCAATTACATGGCTAAGAAGACAACGATGGTCCTTTTCATCAATGGTATGTGATGCACATATTTTAGAAGCATTAAATATTTAATTCTATAAATTTTGAAAGCTTCAATACTTATGTATAAATCTGATCAATCCTCCCAGCTATGTGTAATATTGTGTAGAATGTTTTTTTTTTACTTTGTGTCATCCGCAGAAAATTTTCATCTTACTTTGTATTAGTGGTAAAATGTGAAATTTGGGCATGTATCTGAATGAAAATTTAAAGAAAAACGTTATAATTACCTTTGAAAATCGTTCTTAAAGTACCTTGAAAGGTATCTTAGTTTCAAGAAAAATGCCCTTCTTAATTAACGTCAGTATGGCAGAAGTTTTGTGGAAACCTCAAATAGATAAACAAAGAAAAAAAAAGCTATCATCCTTCTAATTGATAAAAAGGCTATCTAAATACAACATGTGATATGCCAGGGGGGCCACCTTGTGGGGCTGAGGGGAAGATATTTAGAAGGTTCCTAATTAAGGGATAATTATTTAGAAATATTTTTTAATTATGTTTATATTATTTAGGAATGTTTCCTAAAACATGTTTAATTGTTTAGGAAGGTTTCCTAAATTATTTTTATTTATTTAAGAAGTATTTAATTATTTAGGAAGGTTTCCTAAATCATGTTTAATTGTTTAGGAATGTTTCTTAAATCATGTTTAATTGTTTAGGATGATTTCCTAAATTATATTAGGAGAAAATCAATTGAAACATATTAGGATAGAGGTTGAATTTGGAGGGAGGGAGGAAGCTTTTTTTTTTTTTTGAGGGAGGAAGCTTATTTAAATCCATAATAGTGTTTATTTTAGGTTTATGCATATTTTGTTTTGAGTGCTATATTTTTCTTTGTGTGAGGGATCCTAGTGGCGTCTAGGGCTTAGGAGAGAATGGCCTCCTCTCGGAAGAGGACTATTTTATCTTAATTTTGTTATTTGATTTCTTAGTAATTAAAAAATATGTTTTGTGCTGAATTTCTCTTGTTCGTTGGTAGTTTTTTATACCAAGGAGAATCAAATTGGTATCAGAGCAGTGTCCTGGACCGAAACATCAAGCTTTCCTCATTGATTTCTGCTGAGTTCTTCCTCATTGTTTGCTGAATTTTGTTGTTTGAAGATCAGATTCGCGTCAAATTTGCTGATTTTTGCTATTAAAGCCTTGATCCGAGTTCCGATGACTAGAAGAAGAGTTGAGGCGTTGAAATAAAAGTTAAAAGGGGAAGTAGGGCAACTAAGAGAGGATATGAATTTGATGAATGAACATATTTCAGAGACAGAAGGTTTGGAAATATGGAAGATATGATGAAGAAAATGAGCAAGATGCAGTCGAAAGCTTCACTGACAATTCCTAAGGTTGAACCAATGGAAAAAGAAATTTTTGAAGGAGATGATGAGAAGGCTCATGGAGATGCGATCCAAAATACCATCGATGGTTCCAATTACTAACCCTAATCAAGATTTGATTGGGTTTCTCTTGGCCAAAGCTAAAACGAATGAGATTGGATAGGAAGAATTTGACGAAAAGAGCTCCTTTCATCAAGAGCTACCTCCTAGGGCTCCGAGAAGGGGGAAAATAGGGTTTTAAGATGGGGGGACAGGAAGGGAGTTTTAGTGTGGAGGTGGTGGAGTGTTTAACTACTATGGGAGGCTTTTTGGGTAAGGGGAGTGGGCGATCAGAGGAGGAGGAGGACAGGCCGAGCCATGGGGATTAGGTCATGTGAGGTGGATGGAAGAAAGGTGGGAGTCCCATCCTCAATACACGAAGGAAATATGTAGGGATCACGATAACCACTACACTAGAGGAGGAAGAAGCTGCTGGGGTGGTGGCGATCCTAGGGTGAAAAAGTTGAAAATGCAAATAATTGAGGAGAAGAAGAGTAAGAGTTCAATAAGTGATACACAAGCTTCTTCCGGTGATAAACAGATCGACAAAGGGAAAGATGTGAATGAAGAGGGTAAAGAAATAAACTCGCAAAGCCAAGCTGATGGTGATGATCAGGAAATTTACCGCATCAAATTACCCAAAGCAGCAAAGATTGGTGAAGGTGAGTCAGAACATCAAAACCATACAGTCGTCTTTACCATAGGGGATGCTCTTCAGGCAATTGATATGAACTAGGATAACTATTGGGAACTTTAAAAATGAGGAATCTTTTGGAGGAATTCAATGAAGATCATGGACTGTGGCCACTAACCATTCTTGGTGCACGTGGGCACATTTAGAAAAAATTTCTAATTGTATTTATGCTGTTTAAGAATGTTTTAATTACTTAGGAAGATTTCCTAATTATGTTTATGCTATTTAGGAAGGTTTCCTAATTGTTTTTATATTGTTTAGGAAGGTTCCAATTGTGTTTAATGTGTGTGAGGTCTATTTAAGGGGGAGTTTTATTTAGGGTTAAGGATAAATGTGTGTTGAGTTTATTTTTTAGAGTTTGGTGTGAGTTTCCTAGTGGCTGCTAGGGTGTATGGAGAGTTGGTCTACCTCTCGAATAGTTGATCAATTCCATCTTTCATTATTGTTGAATAAGTAATCAAGAATCAACCCCCATATTTGTATTCCTGCATTTATTTTACATCTATTTTGCTATTTTTACTTCCATGACTCATCAGACTATGTTTCTATATACTTATGACTCATCAGACTATGTTTCTATATACTTAAAAATATGCATTTATGGGTTAAATTTGATTTTGTTTATATATACTTAAAAATAACCTCATTATGTTTATAGGGTTAATTGCAAAATAGCCCCCTCATTATTTTGTATATGGCTAGTTTAGTCTTAGAGTATCATATTGCTTCAATTTAGTCTCTCAACTATTCAAAATTGATCTAAAATGGTTCATTCAAGATGAAATTGAGATTAATTTTGTACAGTTGAGGTAGTAAATTGAGATTAATTTAATATCACAATAATAACATTATGGACCATTTTGAATCAATTTTGTATAATTGAGAGATTAAATTAGAGCAATATGATACTTTGAGACTAAATTAACCACACACGAATAGTCTGAGGACTATTTTGGAATTTTTCTATACATATCAACGTTTTGAAAAACCGGATCGGACTGGCTGGTTCAACCTTGAATCGGTCGGGTGGCTGGTCCGATCCAGATTAAAAACCAACTTTGCATCGAATCGGATTGAACAGGCAAAAACTGGCAGTTCAACCGGTGAACCGCTAAATCGGTTCGAGTTGGAAAGAACTGGCCGTTTCTATCAAAAAAATTAAATTTAAAATAATATATTTTAGTTTATTAACTTCTTTTAACTTTTTTTTTTAATATTTTTATTAAATATGATGATTAATCATAATATATGCATATTATCTCACATATCTCACATAATGTATTTAGTAAAAAAATATGTATTTTACACTGTATGAAGGGTTAAAACAACTACCTTAAACTCTTATAATGTGGACTAAAAATGTTGCATGAATATGATAGGTACCACTTGAGTATTTCAAGTGATTCCTATCGGATCTAAGCCAAATCACTAATAATCCGCTGTTTTCTATGGAAAACAGCCACCAAGCACAAAAACAGTGGAAAAATCTGAGAAGAATCATAGAGAAAATAGGAGAAACAATTGCAAACGATAGAAATTTCACTAGTCGATGCAAAAGACAATAAAGATACAAGTTTCCTTCAATCCGAGAGGAAGGAAAAACTCTCCAACAATCTCCGGTATTATTATGTTAACTTTATCAATTTTTAAGAACCGTGAACCTCTCATTTCGGTTCATTGTCTGGTCCGATTTTCACAACCTTGACATATGTATATATATACATATACTTGTATGAATTATTTATATTCATAATCATACATTTATATTTAAATGGATATATGCAAATATATATTTTATAATTTATGTCTTTCAAGTAGACTATATTAATGGACAATTCATTTGTTCTCCATAAGTTAACAAATTGAACACAAATAAAAAGTTTTGGCTCATGTACTTAACGAAGCGAGTCGAATAAAACTTGAGCTCGTTCAATCTCAACTTGTTTACACCCTTACTTAGGATAAATGTTCATTATATTGTAGCTTAGTGGGAAAGTAGCAAGAAATGGAAGTGGCGACAATAACATAGTCAAATATAGTGGGACTGTAGCATGACAGGAAGGTGGAAAACATCAGAGAATTAACATGCATGAATGAGTTGGTGTGAAAAATAGGAAGATTGTGAAAATCAGACCGAGCATCAAACTAGAAAAAGGAGAGGTTTAGGGTTTAACAGTTCGATTGAAGCTTAACTGGATGACGTAATAAATATTAAAATTATTTAATAACAACAACATCAAGCTTTTATCCCTCTACGTGGGGTTAATTACATGAATGTTTTTCTCCATTGTGTTCTGGTAAGAGTTAAATTCTCATTTAAATCTAATAAAGAATGGTCATTTCAAATATTCTCTAACCAAGTCTTTTTAGGTCTACCTCTATATTTCTTAATATAAGCCAAATCAAATACATCTACTTTCCTAAATGTGTTATTGAAAGGTCGTTGTTTTATGTGACCAAATCATCTAAGGCGACTCTCTCTAATCTTATCTTCCACTAGAGCTACTCCAAACCTTTTCACATATATGCTCATTTTGAATCATGTATCTAAGAGTAAAGTCACCCATCCACCTGAGCATCCTCATCTTTGCAATACTTAACTTAATATTATGCTTCTCTTTTAATGGCTAACACTCTGCACCATAAAGCATTTCAGGTATCACCACCATTTTATAGAATTTTCCTGTAAGTTTGGGGGAGACATTTCTATCACACAACAAGTCTGATGCACTCCTCCACTTCAACCATCCAACTTGAATTCTGCTAATAATATCTCCATCTATTTCACTATCTGTCTAAACAATAAACTCAAGATATCTAAAATGCATACTCTTATTAATGACTTGATCGCCCAAAATCACAATTCCACCGCTAGATCCATTACTACTGAAATTACACTTCATATATTCAGTTTTACATCTACTCAAACGAAAACATTTACGGGCTGTTTGGTATCGAATTTGTGCCTGGATTTAAGAAGGATTTAAGGTAAATCCAGCCAAATGGTTTTTGGGGGTCATCTAAATCCCAAGCTTGCGTAAACCCGGGATTTACGAATTTATGACGTAAATCCGCGTAAATCCAAATCCCATCTAGAGTTGGATCGGATTTATGACGTTGGATAAAATTGACACCCCTAATTATAATTTAAAATATGCATTTATTAGTAGTATAAATATTAATTAAATAATTGATTATTAATAGAATAATTAATTAATTAATTATAAGTATAATTAGTAATTAAAAATTATTAAAATAATATATAAAAATTAATGAAATGATAAATGTAAAATAGTAATTAAATTATTAATTATTTTGAATTATGATTAAATAATTAATTAAATAATTATCATTATAATTAGTATTAACTACTAATTTAAATAATACCTAAATAAATAATTTGATAATTAATATTTCAATCATTTGCTAAGTTATTAAATAATTAAAGTAATTATTAGTAAAATATTTAAGTGATTAATGAAATAATTAATAATTATATATTGATGTTATTCTGTATTATTCTTTCATATTTAAATATCTAACTATTTTAAATCCTACAATCTGTTGCCAAACAGTTTCTCAGAATTTACTAGGATTTAACATTTATCATACCAAACATTTTTCAAGATTTAACAACCTCATGATTTACTAAATCCGGATTTAATCCTACTAAATTAAATCCAATCCAATACCAAACATCCCCTTAGACTCTAAGGTAGACATCCATAATTCAAGTTTACCTTCAGCTCCCTCTCTAGTCTTATCAACAAGAAGAATATCATCAGCAAAAAATATATACCATGGTACAACCTCTTGCAAATATCTAGTGAGAGCATCCATGATTAAAGCAAGAAGATATGGGCTTAAGGCTGATCCTTGATGTAATCCAACAGGAAAAGGAAAATATTCGGTCAAACCATCTTGTGTTTGAACACAAGTAACATCTCGTGCATACATATCCTTAATGACTTGAAGAATATAAGCATTATTAACCTCTTTCTTTTTAGAACTCTCATTAGCACTTCTCTTGGAACTTTATCATAGTTAAAATTATTTAAATAAAAAAATAAATGACATAATAATGATATGATAATTATTTAATGATAGAAATTTTTTATTTAAAAATAATTTTAGTTTACATATAAATTTATAAATTTAATATAAATTATTGCTAATTGATGCTATATATTTGTGTAAAAATTCAACTATAAATTATATATTAAATTCACATTATAAACTTGCATTTATACATCATTCATGTTAGATTATTTATAATTAATAAATAGATAAAAATTAGTTTTAATTAATATATTTAAAAAAATTAAAATAGATATTATTCTCATTATTAAAAAAATCAAAAATTTGTTTTAAAAGCATATAATGTAAGTGTTTTGAAGTAGAAAGCTTCAACTAAATTGCTTAGTTCCAGATCACTAGGGAGCTTTGTTTAATTTTCCTTATATAATTTTTTATTTATTTATATGTGTTAGGAATCATATGGGGTGCTGGGATTATGTGGGTATGTTTTGTTGGAGCTTAGTTTGTAAATATCATTATAGATATTTTTTTGCTTATCATAAGATTAAAATATATTATGTTTAAATTAATTTACTAAATTTAATAGTCAATTTGATATTTTATATCAATTTGATTTATTTAATTATTTTAATTGGATAGCAATTGAATCGAGTAGTTCTTAAAAATCAGGACCGGTTCAATGAACTGACGGTTTAGATCAATTCACATCGGTTTGATGTTGAGCCAATTTTTAAGATGGATCAAACTGGTCATATGACCTATTTATGGTTGAACCAAGCGGTCTGATCCAGTTTTCAAAACCATAGAAAATAGTGACAAATGTTTGGGGAGGAGGCATTCAGAAATATTTTTCTTAAGAAGCTCAAAAAGTCTGTTTAAGATTAAAATGTTAATTTTTTTGTTTGTCATTAATGTTGGGTTTATTCTTAGTATGCTAATCTTGTGACAGTCAATTGGTTTCACCTTTATCCGCCTTAGCATTGGCTTAGGGACTCCTCATTGATGCATCTTGGAGATTAGTAATGATTATTGATTGCTTAAATCTGACTCAACATCTCATTTTATAGGTTTATTACTTTATTCAGATAAATTTTTCTGGTGTATTTCATTTATTAGTGGATCATGTCGCCCTATGTTTCTCCTTTTAATCTCATGAAACCAGCTCTGATGTATTTCTCTTTTTTTTGTTAGATTTTTTACTACAAAATAACTAAAAGTGGGATTATAAAACTTTCTCCTAACGGGTATTTTTTTATTTTTTATTTGGATTGTTTTTGCTTGGGTTATAGTATCACTTATTCTTTTAGAACTTCTCTGAGTATCTTATAGCCACTCCTCAAAATTCAGATCTTCATTGGATTTCTCCCTATTACTGTTTCTGCTCTATCAGCTTCTCTCTCATAAGATGCTTATTTCAATTGTCAACCCTGAGGCACGACCTACTTCTTTAGTTCTTGCAGATTTTTGCACATGTGATCTACCTCTGTTCCAACAATGATTCTGTCAGGGTCTTTTGTCCTCACTATGATGAACTTTTTGTTGATGCTCTTAGTCAAGACTCTTCGTAGATACTCTTTCTTGATCCTTTGACCCCCTTTGTCAATATTTTTATTTGAGGACTGTATACATGTATTTTCTGACACAGATGTTGTTGCTGATTTTTTGTGCCGAATGACCCTACTCTTGCTTTCTCAAGTCGCTCGTGTTCCTCTTGCGATACTAACAATCTCCGGACGTTAAGATCTTTGGTTACTATCTTTTTCAAACCAAGTTGACATCTCTATGCCATCTTGAGTTTGCGGGTGAGTGTTATAAAATCTGTATTATCACATGGCCTAACTTATTTATAAGGATTCCTTACTATTTATTATTGTAATGTTTCATAATTATTGAGAATATTCTCATTTATTGTTTTCTTCTCTTGTTTATACATAAGCCTGCATGCTCATACTAGAAAATAAATTTAGAAAATATATAGTTTGCTGTCTCTTTCTTTTCTAACAGAATCAAAACAATGTTTTTTAATCAGAGTTTTTTTATGTGAACTAAATGAACTTTAGTGTTCTTCTGTATTGCAGTCACTTGCATACTTGTCAACTTCCATTGAATATTCTGTTTTGGTTAATTTCCTGCTTGTGCTTTATGTTTATCTGGGTTTCGTAGGCAATCAATCTGTCATAGTAGGACTGGTAAATATGAAGCCACTGATTTTGTTTAAGAAATCCTTGTTGATATAAATTGTTTAGTTAAACAAGCTTGCCTGTTGATATTTTAGGCTAAATTTTCCTGCAATTTCATATATTAGATATAGTTTTGGTCTTTCTCCTTTGCCATTTAAGTTTCTAGGAAGTGAACTTTCTTCTATGTTCCTTTTCAGACAGGCTGGTGGAATGCACTCCCCTTAAGAGAGCTATCGAGGTGGCATATTCTGCAACGCTAACAAAGGCATCAAAGCCTTTCGTTTTTATGTCTATCAGGGTCCCATCTGAGCATGTAGATGTTAATGTACATCCTACAAAGAGAGAGGTACCACACTGCAAACTTTTAGAGTTTTAGTTAAGACCCTTTGACATACTATTGGTTGCAATGATCCTTTTCATTCATGTAATACTTATCCATTGATTATTTTCGGAGTTAATGTAAATAATAATGCATTTAACGCCATCTATTTATGCTTAGTTACATGTAATTTATTTTCTTGAACAATAATACCGATATCAATTGAATACTTTTGTGAAATTTGAAATTATTTATTTACATTTTCTGATTGCAGGTAAGCCTTTTGAATCAAGAGAGTCTTGTGAACACCATTCAAGATGCTATTGAATCAAAATTGATGTCCTCTAACAATACAAGAACATTTCATACGCAGGTATTACATGCATACCACACCTATCTCATAATTATCTATTTAATTCCTTCATGGCCTGACTAAAGCACCGAAATCCTATCACATATGTTCGTGTGAACATAATATGATTTATGCAGTTTGGGAATAGAATTGTTCCATGCAACTGTTTTATGCTGCTCTACATTGAAAGAGCTAAAAATTTTGGCTAATTGAGGCACAAAAACTAGTTCTATTATTTGAAGGGGACACAAATTAAATTTTTAATATTAGAACTATAAAATAGTCAGTACTTATCAATAAACATCGATAAAATTTTGGTACCTCAAAGGCTACTAAATCTTCTATATTAAATGTAGGATTAATGTTAAAACCTTTTGGAAGGTCCAACACATAAACATTACTATTAACCTTTGAAATTATCTTAAAAGGTCCGGCGCTTCTAGCATGCAACTTCTTTACGGAGCCTAGAGGAAAACACTCCGGGCGGATCCGTACCATCACAAAGACTCAAATTTTGAATTTTTTAAACCTTCTTTTGTTATCAGCAATAAGTTTTTAATTGGCGTTACTTTGTTCAATTTTCTTTTTAATTTTTGTATGTAACTCCTGGAGATGAGTTGCAAATGCATATGCAGACTCTGATGTTCTACCCCTAGGACTCATGGGAACTAGATCAATGGATTGTTTCGGTTGGCATCCATACACAATCTCAACAGGATTTTTTTTTTTAATTTTTATTCTCAGCAGGACTTAGACCAGTGGTTCTATTGATTGAATTGTTATAGGCAAATTCTGCGATGGGAAGCTTAGAGTCTCAATCCATAATGTTTTCCCCTACCAAAGTCCTTAAGAGGTTTCCTAAGCTCCTATTAACAACCTCGGTTTGCCCATCGGTCTGAGGATGGAAGGCTGTTGAAAACTGAATTTTCGTGCCCATCTTGTGCCACAGGGTTTTTCAAAAGTAACTTGTAAACTTAACATCTCTATCCGAAACGATGGTTTTCGGTAGGCCATGAAGTCTAACTACTTCGTCGAAGTAGAGTTTAGTAATCCGAGGGGCATCAAAAGTTTTAGAACATGGGAGGAAATGGACCATTTTAGAGAAATGGTCAATGACCACACAAATAGAATCGTGCTTCATAACAGTCTTGGGTAAGCCAAGGACAAAATCCATACTTACATCCTGCCAAGGGCAATTGGGTACAGGGAGGGGAGTATAGAGTCATGTATTCTGTTTTCGTTGTTTGGCAAGTTGACATATGTGACATCTCTTTAAGAGTCTACTAACGTCGCGCTTTAGGCTAGGCCAATAGAATCGATTTTCTAAAGCGACAATGGTTTTGGATTGTCCAAAGTGGCCAGCTAAACTTCCTGTATTTAATTCCCAAACGAGGTATTCACGAAGAGGCGTTTGGGGAATACAGAGTTTTTGGGCCTTAAATAGATATCATTTCTCTATTAAGAAATCATTGATTGTACGCTCACTTTCAGAAGTCAAAAGAGAATAGGTCTCATGAAAATTAGTGCAGTCCTTATAGTTTTCTTTAAGACTTTCAAATCCAATCACTTCAGTTCTCATTTCTTGGGTTACTAACATGCGACGACTTAGGGCATCAGCTGCTTTGTTTTTAGCTCCAGCTTTGTGTCGGGTGGTGTAGGTGTATTCTTGCAGAAATTCTACCCAACAGCCATGTCGAGCATTGTGTTTCTTTTGTGAATTTATGTACCGCAGGGCTTCATGGTCAGAGAAGATGACAAACTCTTGGGGAAGTAAATAGTATCTCCAATACCTATGTGATTGAATGATAGCATAAAACTCCTTATCATAGATAGAGTACCATTGCCGGATGTCATTTAACTTCTCACTAAAATATGCTACGGGATGTCCCTCTTGCGATAAAACTCTTATACCGATACCAGATGCGTCGCAAGTTACTTCAAAAACTTTTGAAAAATCGGGTTGGCGCATAACTGGAGCTTCTACCATTCTCCTCTTTATCTCCTCGAAAGGTTTAGAGGCAGACACGGTCCATTGGAATTCCCCTTTCTTGAGACTGTTATAGGGGCTACGATGGTGCTGAAATTCCTAATAAACCTCCGATTAAAAGTGGCCAATCCATGAAAACTCCGAACATCTTTGATGTTTTTTTGGTTAAGGCCACTCATTAATCGCTCGTACTTTCTTGGGGTCAACCGATATTCATTGTGAGGATATGATAATGTTAGACCGGTCCAAGCGAGACCGACCCGAGCACGACGAGGCGGACTGCCTTCACCTCGTTTCCGTGACCGACCACACTACAAGCACTGGAGAACCATTTTAGGAAGGATTTTTGAGGGATTTGGGAGGGAAATTTGAATGTAGAGACTGTTTAGGGATTTCCTTTTGATTTGTATGCATTAAATACTTTATTTTCCTAAGGTTATGGCATCTTGAATTTGGCCAAAATTTGAGATCTCTTTGATTTCTTTTGGGCTCTAGCGGCGTCTAGAGATTGGGAGAGAAAGATCCTCCTCTCGAATAGAGGATCAATTGTATCTTGCTATTTTTCGCTTCTATTTCATCAAATAATATAAATTTCTACTGTTTTCCTGGTTTTGTGTGAATTTTTGTGGAGAATTCTCGCTGTTTGCGATGATTGATAGGAAATACTTGAGATCTACAAGTTTTTCCTATCAAATTTGTATCAAAGCAAGTCTTGGGACTGTTCGTGGGTTGATTTTGGCGAAGTTCGGCGGCCAATTTTTGGTCGGGAATGGATAGAGTTGTTGTTTTTGTAATCCAAATCTGAAATTTTTGGATTTACAAAGTTTGGAGCGAGATGGCGGCCAAGAAAGTTGATGTGCTAGAAGAAAGACTTGAAGGGGAGATGAACCAAATCAAGACAATGGTGGAGGAAAGTATTTCCTCCATGGAAGGATAAGTTGCCGATCTCCGAGACATGATGAAGAAAATGTTGGAAATCCACAACCAAACTGCGGCTTCCGTGGCAAAAGGTGAGGAAGAAAAAAACACGAATTCTGAAATTCGTAGGGAGGAAGTTGAGGTGGAGATCAAGGAGGGTGAAAGAAGAAAACCCTATTTGGATCATTTCCAGAGGGAGGATAGAGGAGGTAGGTACGGAGAAAGGCATGGGTATGGAGGGACGGAGCAAATGGGTGCTGATTGGGAACACCGGAGGGACATTATGGTCGCCGAGGTGCTGAGTTTGAAGGAAGAAGAGGGGAATTCGAAGGGGGTTTGGGCTATGACAGAGCAAGGGAAGACCGTGAGATGTGGGGTGGGCCGGGCACTTGGGAAAGGAGAAGCTATGGAGAAATAAGGGGGAATGGTGGAGATCAGAAGGTGAGGAAATTGAAGATGTTTATCTTCGAGGGAGAGGATGCGTATGGGTGGATCTATAAGGTAGAGAGATTCTCTCTTTGCCGTTAATGGGCTAATGGAGGAGGAGAAGCTGATAACAGTAGGCCAATGTTTGGAGGGGAAGGTACTGTCATGGTACCAGTAGAGAGACCAGGGAGACCTATTAGGGACTGGAGGGAATTCAAGGAATGCATAATATAACGTTTCCAAACCGACCGGAGAGGAGATTTCTGTGAGCATTTCTTTGCTCTGGCACATGAGGGATCAATAGCAGACTACCGGGAGCAGTTTGAGCACCTAGCTAGTAGGGTGGAGCGATTATCATATACGGTATTGGAGGGGAACTTCATGAAGGGGTTGAAGGCAGAGATCTGAGCGACAGTGAAGGTTTTGATGCCTTGTGACTCGGGGGAGGCCATGAAGTTGGCCCAACTGGTGAAAAATTAGAAGAATCTAGAGAAAGGAGCCATGAGCAACAATTCAGGAGACTCTTATAGGACGACGACCACTCTTCTAGCACCCAAGGGGCCTGCATCAGGAAACATTAATGAAACCACCAGTGAGAAGCTAGTAGGAGAAGGGATTTGGGAAAAATTCAAGAAGCTGACAGAGAAGGAGATGCAAGAAAGGAGGGCAAAAGGGTTGTGTTTCAGGTGCGAGGATAAGTATACGCTAGGACATCGGTGAAAGGACCAAACTCTTCAGGTTCTCATCGTTTGTGATGACGAGGAAACTGAGGAGGGAGGTGAAGGGGAGTTAGAGGAAGAGATGGAGGAGAAGTTGCATTTGGATGTGGCCGAGGTTTCCCTAAATTCAGTAGTATGATTCACTTCGAATCATACGATGAAGGTGAAGGAGGAATTAGTAGGCATGGAGGTGGTTGTTTTGATTTATAGCGGGGCTACCCATAATTTCATTTTCACTTAGGTCGTCAACCAACTGGGAGTGAAATTGGTGGACACCGGTTGTTATGGGGTGATGATGGGTACAGGGAAGGTGGAGAAAGGCCAGGGGATCTGTAGAGGAGTGTTGTTGACCATCCAGGGGATTCAAGTAAGGGAGAATTTCTCCCACTAGAGTTAGAAAGTACTGATTTCATCCTGGGAATCAAATGGTTGTAAACCTTGGGGGAGACCAAGGACAATTGGGGGGACACTCACGATGGAATTAATGGTGGATGGGAGAAAGGTGGTTATAAGGGGAGATGTAGGGCTATCTAAAGCCATGGTATCACTTAAGACCATGGTTAGGAGCCTACAAGCGGTGGTGGACGATTATGTGATGGGACTACAGAAGTTGGATGTGATTAGGAAGGAGGGAGGGGAAATTTCTCTTTCAGGGCAACCCCTAATTCAGCAAATTGGTAAGAATTTTCAGCCACCTCAAGGATGGCCACTTTCATCGGAACATGAGCATATCTCCACCTTGAGGACAAGGTGAATCTTTGGGATGGGAGTATTGTTAGACCGGTCCAGCCGGTCCACGCGGGACCAGCCTAAGCACGACAAGGCGGACTACCTCCGGCTCTTTTCTGCGACCGACCCACCGCAAGCACTGGAGAACCATTTTAGGTAGGATTTTTGAGGGATTTGGGAGGTTAATTTGAATGTAGGGACTGTTTAGGGATTTCCTTTTGATTTGTATGCATTAAATAATT